GGCATTTGTCATGGGGTTTTGGAGCTATGGGGTTTGGAGGTATTCATGCTTACTCTCTCTCTCTGATATGGAGGGGCCCTTAAATAGGATACTGATCTTCCAATGCTGCTAGTGGGAGGAAGGCACATGCCACCAATGTAGCGTCTAAGTATGTACCCCTTAAATACCTGAAAATGCCCCAAGACCTTGGGTATGTGTCGAAGGGGGGACACCTTTCTTTAACTGGGCGGTCTTCCTGTTTTCCCTCCAAACGCAAAACTGGGCGCCTCGCAAACCCTGTGGAGTCACACTGTGGAGAGGCCGCTGGATAGGGTGGCCATCTATGGTCGCGCGCATTCGGGTGAAAGCCGAAAGCCCCAGCTCCCCAAATGAGAAACTCCCCAATCAAACCCTCAGACACTGGGCTCATGAAATGAGTCAAGTTTGAAAGCTTCCACTAGTTCGTTTCGGGCTTACGAATGGGCTCCCCCACATCCACGACTTCCCCCTCCCCCCCTCCCCCAACAGATCGCCTTCGGGCAACGCTGCTCGTAGTCCAGGCTTGGGTCCTGCGCGAGGAATTTTCTGGACCATGGTTTCGGGTTTCAAAGGCTTCTCCGGCGTCGACTCTATGGGGGGTGGTCAAACATATGGCTGTGGGTCAAACCCAGAAAACCCCTGGTGAACCTCAAAATAGGTGGCAAATGGAAGTTGATCCACCCCAAAATTGAGCCATTTGTGCCCCATGGGAGCCTTTTTGGGCCCCGCCTTGTGCCGCCTTTTCAAGGGGAGACCCAAGTTGGGCCCCTACTTTTGACAAGCCTTCGGATGAACAAGCGCTGCCTATTGCGTTGGCTGGGAGAAAAGCGAACGGCAAAAGGACGACGAGCTGGTGGAGGATTGGGATGCGCCAAGCCGGCGGGCTACGTCGCGGCCAGAACCAACCAGCTGAGACCGCTGGGTTGCTTAGGATTCTGGACAAGGCCATGGGTCAAAATCCAAATCCTATCAGTGATCCGATTCAATCCCCACTAAAACAGACGGTACAAGACTAGAGGGTCCGAGCCTTAACCCAGCACCCCTTGGTGGTGATCCCCGGTCAAGATTCGCATAGCCACTGACCAAATGAAACATCCAAAAGCTCGGAGTTCTTTGAGTTACCATTGTTCTCTAGTAACTGGAACAACCGCGGACTTGGTTACCCTCGTGGCTTTTCTCTGTTTCTCCTGGATTGAGGAAACCCACCTCCCCCTTTAGAGTCAAAATCCCGGATATTTGGTTGGTTTTGAAGGGAAACCCAAAGAGGAACCAACTGTTAGAAACGACCCATTCCAGAGGCGAAGGGGGGGAGGGGAAAGACAAGTCCCACTTTGAAAGCCAAAGGAAACGTCCATGAACGTCCCAGCGGAACCCAGGTTGCCGTCCCATTCGGACACGACATTTGTTTTTGGGTTGCCACGTTTTCAGGGTCCCATCCTGAAAAAAAGCGGAGTCGCTCCTTCTTGGCCCAGTCAGGGCACGGCTGCGGCCCGTAGCCCACGCAAGGCTTCCTACGCGCGTCCTGGGCGCGAGGGACGGGTCGCGGAATCTTTGGTGTCCCGCAGTCCCCTGTGGACGCGAAATCCGCTCGCACCACCGTTCAGAAACCATGGAATCATGATTCTCCTGCAACCGAACAATGGTTTCAACAATGGTTTAGTGGTGCGAACGGAGTGCGTCCATCCACAGTATGTTCATATGACTGGGGTGTAGCCGGAAATGAGCCGGAATGGTTGGGAACGAAAAATTCCCTCCTCGAAGCCTCTGAAGGGATTCGCTCTGAAGTAAGTGCCGTTTGTGTGGTGGTTGAAAGGGAACGAAGAGAAAATGTCCCAAGAGCATGCCCTCGGACTGTTCAAAATGGACGAGTGGCCAATCCCATCTTCCGTCCCTCGGAAAAAACTCCAAGTAAAAGGACTGAATCCCTTGGTGTCCCAACAAAAGGATCAGGAAATCACACTTGAACAGCCGCAGCCTGAGTGCGGCTCCCAAAAACGTGATATTTCGGGCAAAACACCCAAGGCAACTGACCCTATTGGGGAATGGCCCAACGGAGGTGCTCCGTAAGCAGGATAAAGGCCATGAATGGGAGACCAACCTTTAGCAGAACCACTGCGCTTCCCTCTTGGAAGTTTGGATTGGTGGCAGCCAACCAACGGAGGCAATCATCACCAGTGTTTAGGTCGCAGTTCATCCCCCAAAGTCATGTGACTATGAATCTATGAATGTTAATAAGGGGCCCGAACAGGTGGACATCAAAATTCGGTTGGGATTCATGTCCACCAATCACTTGTGATTGGTGGTTCCGCCTCTTAAAAACAGAAGGAGAAAAAAAGGAGAACAAAAAAACAAAGAACAAAAAAACACATGGCGTTGGTGGCTCCGACTCTTCAACAAACCCATGGCCGGGTGCTTTTGCTTTCTGGGAAAATCGGTTGCGTCACCGAATCGTTGCCGCCTGGTAGTTGTGGGCATAGACGCAGGTCTGCCAGTCATGCTGCACTCCGATGGGACACCACAGGGTCTTGTACTGGTACCTGCACAGGGACGGCGGGAATGGCTGTGGCTCAACATGTACCCAAAATGGCCCCGTGGCCCGGTAAATGGAAACAAAGACCAACTGCGGTTTGCCCTAGCTCTTAAATTTTGAGCCACACCCATATTCCATAAACTCCGGGTGCTACAAAAATGGGCATGGGTCAAAGTTAAACCACCAGGAATTGGACCGCAGGTTTTGGCCCATGTTTCCACTTACCAGCATTCCATTTTGGCCCACAGCCAAGTGACTCTGTAGGCCCCTGCGCACCACGAAAAAGAAGTAGAACCTGCCTACTACATTGGCCAGAGGGGTGCTGGGCGCTGTTGAAAATATGTCGCAGGCGTTTGCTACAAATATGCCAACCCGTGCCAACAGCGCAATTTTTCTGCACAAACAAGCTGCTTCGGAGAGTGTGACCTGCTCATTTTTCCGGTCTTCAGACACCTCCAGCTGGCCCCCCACGTCTGAGCACTGCCCATGGGCAATCGGCAAAGCCTCCGGAGCCCAAGCCGTTGACCGCAGCAAACTTAACGCACCGCCGCAAACTCAACCTGGGAAGGCTGTGCAGCACCTACCATGGGGTTCTCTGGGCAGAATTGCTAAGCAAAGCGGAGGCCTTTGCGTTTTCCCGCAGACTCTATCCTTACATCTGGAGACTGGGCTGGTGTCTTGGTTTCTGGAAGTAGAAATGAGGCTGCAAGTGTCAATGTTGGGCACGGAGAAAAAGTCCAAGAGGCACCTGGAAGGCCTTTTTAGATATTCAAGTTTGGGCGCCCTTTGCACCCATGTTGGCTCTGCCATTCCGGTTGTAGGCCCTGCTCTAACCCCCACCCAAAGAAACCAGGTAGGAACTAAACCACCAAGACAACCTGCGGGCATGGGTGTCTCTTTTTGTTGAGGCCCCTCTTCACACAAACCACAAGGCAAAACACCACCCATTTTGGGGGGCCCGGCGATCCCCCAAAAAAACATCTCGCCACCCCTCAAAATGGGCGGGCGGAGCGAGCATCCGGCGCACATGAAGAAGTCTTCGGTGAGGACCTCGGGCACCTGCCCGCTGCGCTCCCCGCGCGCGCAAAGCGCGGCATTTGCGCGAGCTGGTGGATCTGGTCTCGTTGGTTGACCTGCACCATCAAAACCCGGTAATTACTGAGTTTCAGTTGGTTGACCCAGAACCATGTGTGGAAATATGTAGGCGGAATGAAAATGGTTGACCCGGTTTCCAGGTAAGGAAATACAGAAACAACCGTCGGCTGATGCTTCCTGGGAGTGTCCCTTACTCATCTTCATCTACCCAGATTTTGATTGTGGCTGGCGATAGCGATGCTGTCTGTCGACCGGGACTTTGCCCAGCTTTCAAGGCTCAAACCCTACAAGCGAAAGAAGGCGAATGAGAACTGCAATCTGATCATCGAGTTCCGTTTTGATTGTGGCTCATCTAGGAACTCGGAGCAACGAAAAGTGACAAAAAAAAGTGCCAAATCCCGAAAGTCAGTTTGGACGGGCCGCGTTGCCAGGCACCGGGACCTCTCCCAAGCTTCCTGGCAAGTCTCGGCGTCTCAAAGTCCCAAGTGACCAACGGTAGTTGCCTCAAGGCTTCAGTTTTGACTGCCTTTTGCAGGAGAACTGCATCTCCCATTGTTCCAGAATCTTCAGGAAGTCAAGGCCTTGAAAGTCAATTGAAGCCGGATGGATTTTAATGTTCGGAGCAATTGGGGTGCCCAGGTCTGAGGAAATATGGAACCTTCACCACGGGTTTCCCCTTGGCCGCTCAGACGGACCGGTCAATCTCCTGCGCCTTTGCCCGCGTGAATGGTTGGGAACACCCTTGGGTGGGTGAAATCCAACGAACACCGCACAAGCCCCAAAAACCCTTCCCAAGAGAAGGTCTCACATGTCTAGGTCCCTGGTGTCCGTTGCCAAGGCCACTTACCTGAACCGCATTTGTTGAACTTGCACATGAACAGGGGGGCACCCCTCTCCAATACTCAAACTTCCCCTAATCCTGACTCCCCATTGAGAGTTGAATTGGAAGAAAAGGCTACCCTGCAAATGACATGTTCCCTTTGTGCGAAGACTAGACATAAGCAAGCAAAAAGCTCCCCGCCCACCCACCGATCATCTGCTCTAGGATTTGCACGGCTCGGAGCAACCAGCGCTGTCGGGGTTCATGGGTCAGCGGTGGGAAAGTGGAGCCAGCTCCTGTCTTTGCACGGCCAGAGCGCTCGGGTCTGTTTTAAGGAAGACGAGCCGGAGCCGCAAAAGTCTGGGGGTTGCAACCAGCAAGCTCTTACTTGTCGCCTGGGAATTTGTGTTGATTTTTCTTGGCTTCCCCATAATTTCCCCCGAACTTCCCGGCTTCCCCTTGGCCTCCCTTGAAAAACGGCTCCCAACTCCAAACAGAAACTCGCCCGGCGCCCGGCCTGCATTTCCTGGGCCTCGGTCAGGAGCTCCGTCTGCGCCTCCTCGGGAGGTGGCCATGGGCCGAACGCCAAATCGGTTTGATTCCCCCAGCGAACATGCCGAGTCCATCCAACCACTCAAATAGGCTCCAAGAATGGGTGGGAGTCCACCTACCAAAATGGGATAGCATTGGTTTTGACCACATGGGTCCAAAATGGTGAAGCACGTCCAGAGTGAAGTGGGTGTTTTCCATTTTGTAACTGGATGTTTTGCTGGCTGGTGCTTGTGTGTTGGTTTTATGCCTTGCTGCTGTGCACCTGTTTTTGAGCAAAGATGTGCGTTCCCATTGTTGACTCTTGGTTAATTAAAATGCAAAACCATGCATTTGTTTGCGGCATCCTGCTTTTTACTCTGCATCACCCTCTTCCTGGCAACGCAGCATCCCTGATGGTCAGCTACTTGACCGGCTTCGATTTGCAGCCCCTGCAAGCTTAAGTCGCCCCTTCGGCAGCCTTGGGGCCTTGCAATTTAGTTTTGATTCGGACATTGCTGCAGTCTTGCGCGAGTCATAACTTTCAGAAATTGTGTTTGGAGCCATGCGACTGACAACAGAAAGGATGCCTTGAAGTATCCCCGTCGATGCCAGCGAAGCCACACATGCAAGCATTACGGTAGGGTTTTCTTTGCTGCACGGACGTTTGCTTTCTATGGCTGCTTGTGTTGCAGTTCAGCTGCACTTTTGCAGTTCTTTCGGACCAAGAAGCGGAGCCAGCAACATCCCGCTAATGCCCAAGACACTTCCAGCCGCCGGCCGCAGAGACGCATGTCATGAACTGTTTGTTTACTCACCTAATGAATGATAAACAAGGGTAGCTCTGATTCAGCTTGCTGCCTCAAGCCCCCCGACATCTGCCAACCAGCCCCCTGAGCCCTCCCAACTATGACTGAAGTAATTAGCAACCCACCTTACATTCCCTGGAAAGAGTGTTCCAAGTCAATAATTTTGAAAGTAGATTCAGCCTGAAGCTAACTAACTATGATTTTTGTGTGACTGAAAGTTGCAGCCTTGCAAACTCTCAAGGCCTTGGAAGGTGGGAGACCTTCCGTAAGATTGTAAGAACATGTGTGCGACCGAAACCCTTAAACATAGGGGTCCTCTAATAGTAGAGCCATTCATGTCCCTTACATCTTGTTTTCACGCGTGCTGTCGTTTATCACTTGTGGGGCATGGTTTCGGGGTCGCACCGCGACCGAGGCCCCAGAACAGTGCCGGCTCAATCATAAATGGCTCAACGCGGTGTCCCAAGCCAATCAGGCTAAGCTTTCAACCTTGTGTTGTTTGTTGCGCAGGCGCACGTGTGCAAGAGCCCGCATAAGTCATGCCCGGGCTCCAAATGAAAAGCCCTCGCGCAAGCCGTGCTGTAGCCTGTAGCAGCATTATCACTTCATCAAGGCGAGGCTTCTTGAGGGTACCTGTTCCATACTCTCGCACTGATCACCACCGTGCAGCCAGCTAATGTGGGTGTTGTAGCACAGCAAGTCCAAGTAAAGAACAGTCAGGCAGTCATTGTTTTATTAGGTGCGGGCGACAGGCTGCTAGCCAAGGGCCTGCTTGGGCAGCTGCTGGCAGGCTGAAAGCTAATTGTGGGAGTTTGAGGCTTGACAAAACCGTACGCTACGATATGCTACCTTGCGTGCTTGAGGGCAACTAATGATGGGGGGTATCTGGCAGAGTGACGGTTGCCTGGCCAACTCGGCTCAACCAGCCAACTCGGATTTGTCAGAATGACAGGCTTTCCTGGCCAACTTGGTTCAACAAGCCAACTCGGATCTGGCAGAGTGACGGGGTTTCCAGAAACCCAGTCACAAAACCCCAGCCAAATGCGTTCAACCAGCCAACTTGCGTGCCTCAGAACAGATCACAACTCCTGACCCCTCAGTCCAAGTGAAATCGTGACTGGGTTTCCAGAAACCCAGTCACAATTTAGCCTTGAACTTGAACACCCATCACACATCTGATGGTGGACAGAGTGCAGCAGGTGCGACTGGTTTGCCACAAAGGCCACAATTTGTGACTGGGTTTCTGGAAACCTAGTCACGATTTCACTTGGACTGAGGGGTCAGGAGTTGTGATCTGTTCTGAGGCACGCAAGTTGGATGGTTGAACGCATTTGGCTGGGGTTTTGTGACTGGGTTTCTGGAAACCCCGTCACTCTGCCAGATCCGAGTTGGCTTGTTGAACCAAGTTGGCCAGGAAAGCCTGTCATTCTGACAAATCCGAGTTGGCTGATTGAGCCTGGCCAGGAAAATCAGTCACTTTGTCAGGTCCGAGTTGGCTGGTTGAGCCAAGTTGGCCAGGAAAATATGTTACTCTTCAAGATCCAAGTTGGCTGGTTGAGCCAAATTGTGGTAGCCCCGTTCATCCATGTAACACTACGCAGAAAACGGCGTCTGTTTTCATGAAATGAATGAGGCGAATGGACAGAGACACCCAGCGAAAACTCGCACATCAAATGGGCACCAGCACAAATAGTTGCCCTCAAGCACGCAACGTAGCATATCGCAGCGTACGGTTTTGTCAAACCTCAAACTCCCAGAATTACCTTTCAGCCTGCCAGCAGCTGCCCAAGCAGGCCCTTGGCTAGCAGCCTGTCGCCCGCACCTAATAAAACAATGACTGCTTGACTGTTCTTTACTTGGACTTGCTGTGCTGCAACACCCACATTAGCTGGCTGCACGGTGGTGATCAGTGCGAGAGTATGGAACAGGTACCCTCAAGAAGCCTCGCCTTGATTAAGTGATAATGCTGCTACAGCACGGCTTGCGCGAGGGCTTTTCACTTGGAGCCCGGGCATGACTTATGCGGGCTCTTGCACACGTGCGCCTGCGCAACAAACAACACAAGGTTGAAAGCTTAGCCTGATTGGCTTGGGACACCGCGTTGAGCCATTTATGATTGAGCCGGCACTGTTCTGGGGCCTCGGTCGCGCTGGCATTTTCAAAAAACATGAATGTTGACCCGAGTGCGACCCCGAAACCATGCCCCACAAGTGATAAACGACAGCACGCATGAAAACAAGATGTAAGGGACATGAATGGCTCTACTATTAGAGGACCCCTATGTTTAAGGGTTTTGGTCGCACACATGTTCTTACAATCTTACGGAAGGTCTCCCACCTTTCAAGGCCTTGAGAGTATGCAAGGCTGCAACTTCCATTCACATATAAATCATAGTTAGCTTCAGGCTGAATCCACTTTCAAAGTTACTGACTTGGAGCACTCTTTCCAGGGAATGTAAGGTGGGTTGCTACTTCAGTCATAGTTGGGAGGGCTCAGGGGGCTGGTTGGTAGACGTTGGGGTGCTTGGCGAACCTGTTTTTTTGTTGGGAGACATTTTTTGTCACTAAGAGGAGGTCCTGCAAGCTTGCTGGTGGGCCCTTTGCGAAGGCCGCAAGCAGCACTTCTTGCTCCAAAGGAACTGTAGAAAAGGAAGAGGAACCGCAATTTAAGCAGCCATAGAATGCAAATGTTTTTGCAGCAAAGGAAAGGCCCTTCTGTAATGCTAGCATGTGTGGCCTTGCGCGAGCTTGTTCAACGCCGGCAGGGGGGGGTGTACTTCAAGGCGTCCTTCCTGTTGTCAGTCGCACGGTGCCGAAAACAATTCCTGAAACTGACTACTTGTGCAAGACTGCAGCAATGCCCGGAAGAAAGCTAAATTGCAAGGCCCCAAGCTGCAGAAGGGACAATTTCAGCTTGCAGGGGCGGCAGATTCAGGCCTGTCAAGTAGCTGACGATATTGGATACCGTGTTGCCAGGAAGAGGGTGATGCGGTGTATGGTTGTGTCAACAAAAGCTGCACAGCGGCAAGGCACAGCACCAGCATAAAAGCACCAGCTAACAAAACACCCAGTTGTGAAATGGAAAACACCCAGTTCACTCTGGACATGCTTGGTGGTGACCCAAACATATGCGCTGCTCATTCGAATGTCCCATTCCACCAAGGTGAAAAGGGTATCTTCAAAAGATCGCACGCCCATTCGGGGCATTTCGGGGGGTTTGTTTGCAAAGAACGCCCCCTTTGGTTGGAGAGTCAGGATAGATCTGACGGCCGAGAGTGGAACCCGTATGAAGGCAAGGAAGGTACTGGCCAAGATTTGGTGCGCTGCCCATCAAGGGTCATGAAGGCCCTGCCCCAGACTTCCATGATGACTTGGTCAAAGTCGCTTGAGTGATGGTTCCTGCAGGCAAAGAACCTGGGTGTGCACCACTTCCGGTTGTGGCATGATGAAAGCTTCTTTGCGAGAGAAGAACCGGCTCTCCAGTACCCTGATAGTGGGCAGGGAAGATGAGTGGCTCGAGCTCAACCCTGGCGGGGTTCGTTGATGGCCTCTGTGCTGATGCGCTTGGCAGCCTTGATGAAGGGCATGGCTTGCTGCGCGGTGCAAATGGCAATGCCACGGGCATCGACTGCAATGGCATGACATGGAAGAGGGGCGCAGCGAGTTGCTTGGCATCGACAAAGGACTCGGCAAAGAGGCTGAGATCAGCTGGATCGGGTTGTGTCGGCGTGATACGAGGGCGCCTTTCACCTTTTCCCTTGAGCTTTTTCTTGTCTGTGGAGATGGCTGCCCCGAACTGGCTCTGGGCACGTGTTTGGGCAGAACAAGCCTGAACATGGTGGCTGGAGTGCTGGCCCGAGCTTTGAGCTCAGTCCAAGGTGGAGGTGCAGCACGGGCGAGCTGTACTGCTGAGAGTCCCAACTTGGAAATGGCTTGCTGGGCTCGTTCGTGGGCTTGAGTTGGGACACCGTGTTCAGTGAGCAAGGTGGCCAGCAGTTGCATGTGTCGGACCATGGCGAAAAGGTCCGGTCCTTGCAGGACAAGTTCCTGGTCTGATGCATGTCCAGGGCTGATCCTGACGGATGGAGTCAGCCAATCGAATGCCAGAAGACAGAGGCCTGGCAAGTTGAGTGACAAGGTTGAATCGCTGCGAGCCAAGCCCGTCATGGTAGATCCAAGTACAACCTGCAGGTGGATGAGAACACCCCCCCTTTGGAGCCTTCGTGGGACACCGGACACTGTGGTTTTTCGCATGGAGCGTGACTTACTGTCCCTCACTCCTTCTGTGATTGAGCTTTGGGGGTATGGGCCTCGGCGCTTCACACCTTGGTGGACACTCGATCCTTTGCGTTGACCACAACAATGTTGCGTGCACTCACCTAGCGGCCAACCATGCTCATGTGTTGAAGCTTGATGTGAACCACCGCCGCAGCACAGCAGATACACCATGCGGCAACTTCACAGCCACCCTCATGTTTGGGTTCCCCTGCCAACCCTACTCCAGCCAGGGCAAGCGACTTGGGACGCTCGATTCCCGAGCTCGAACTCTGTGGGGCGGCCTCCACATTGCCTTCATGCTTCAGTGCCAAGCACTCATTTCTGGAGTGTGTCGTCGGCGCGCCGGGCACCACCCAGATGTTCGCAGGGCTCTCAACTCATTTGCATCGGCCATGAACTTGAACTCAGCTCGCAGTGGCCTTGCGGCCGTCCGGAACCCTGAAGCCACGCTGCCCCAAAAGGGAATCACAAAGCTGAAATACCCCAGAGAAGCGTTGCCCAACCGACACCTGACAAGGCCGAACAAACGAGGGTCCATGGCAAAGGGTGTGCCCGCTTTCGGCTGTCCCAGCTCAACCGCTGGGAGGCTCGGGCCGAGAGCTAAACAGGTCCTTGATAAAACGACACGCCAAACAAGAATCAGACCCCTGAAAATGTTGCTGCTTTTTTTCCCATTCAGCAAACCCTCTTGAACAGAAACCAAGACAACCCCACGTGGACCCACAAACCCACACCTGCCACGTGGGCCGACATGCCCGCTTCCCGCGACCAGAGCGCCTCCCGAGTGTGGGCGAACTCGCAGGCTGCGCCGCGGCGGCACTGGCCAAGCTGATTTGGAAGAAAGAAAAGAAGAAGAAAAAAGAAAAAAGGGGGGGGGGGGGGGGAAAAGAAAAGAAGAAGAAGAAAAAAACGACTTTTGGCGGATGGACAAAATCCTGCGCCAGTTTAGATGTATGAAGCCAAAAAGACAACGCCTGCCTACTGGAGGATGTCGTCGTCCGTTCGCAATACCAAATGAACAAATTATCACGCCGATGGCTACGTTGCAACGCAAAAGCAGGGTTTTCGGAGTGGGTTTCGGGCAGTGATTTGGGCTCACGGTGCCAAGAAGACCGAAAAGGATTTGATAGTAGTGGACTTGGGCGCAATTCGCAGGAAACGGGTCATCGCATTTCTGGAAATCGTTGAGCGGTGATGGGGGCCAAAACACTTCCAACGTTTAAGAGAAAGAACCAACCGCAGCCCATCCCATGCAGATGAAAACCCAGCAATATTTTACAGGAAAGCGAGCTGGAAAACCCAAGCCAAAGACCCCTTTGCTCACACCCCATGCACAAATAGCAGCAAGACCCTCGAGAACATTTTCCCAGAGGGTGCGTAAAAGGGGAAAGTACATACAAAATTGTCTGCAGCAAGTTAATAGTATCAGGGGTTTCAAGCGTCTAAACTGAAAGAAGCACGCTACAAGGGTAAGCAAGCTTTCGCGGGACTCATTATGAAAAAGGTGCTCGTCTATTCTGTTCGCACTAACATGCCCACGTGAGAACAGCTTTGAAAGCGTCCAGGGCTCAAACCGGGCAACAGCAAATAACTTCACCCGCCAACTTTCCTCATACCAAAACAAGATGGAGGCAAGTGGATGCTCCTTTATGGACATTCCGCCAACACGGCGGCCCTTTTTTCTGGTCCGAGCAGCGTCTTGGAGGTTCTTCATTTGCCGATCCGCAAGGGATCGGAAGAGCCCGCGTGCGCAAGAACCAGCTCGCATGTATATTTGGGCCGGACCCGGAAGTGCTTAAACACGAGGGTGCAAATCTTTGAGCAGCGCAAGCTAGCCTCCTCAGTGCCAGCACGAGCTGAGAAACACCCCTGCCCACCCCCACATCTCTCATGCCAATGGATCATTCGAGGGGGACCTTCCCAATTCTTTCCAGTCGTCCTTCTTTCTAAAAAACCACCCAAAACCCTGGGGAAGCAGCTGGTTTTTTGAAAAGAACGATGGTTGGAAAGAATGGGGAATCAACCCCTAGAATCATGTAAAATGCTCTGTGGCGAGGGGCTCGCCTGCCAACATGGCTACAACATGTTGGCAACATGTTGCAGGCAGGGCTGCTGCTTGATGGGATTTTTCTTGTTGCATCACCCGAATACGTGATGCTCCATGACTGGCAAATGACCGCTCAGCTAACTCGGCGCGTATACATGTGTGAATGAGCTTGTGCAGTGTCTGCAATAAGTTTTGCCGGCGCAAACGAAAATAAACAGGTGAAGCTTCCACAACCCCTCTATCAAAAGAAAAGTCTAAAAGCAACGTCCTATCGAAGTCTTGTAATCTCAAATCGCTGAGCAATGTCCTGGAAAGAGCTTGAGTGTGGGTTCAAAAATAGGTACCCCCCCAAAAAAAAGGAACCCTGGTAAATGGAAACAAGGACCAAAGCCTGCAGTCTCCTGGTGAAAAGTTTTGACCTGCACCCATTTTCAAGAATGGGGTTCGCCTTCCCGAAAGCCCCAAGCAGCGCCGGCCCCGGCCTGGGACACCTTGGGGTAGGAGGCGCAGAAGCGGACCTTCCGCACCGACCTCGGCGTGAGTTCCCCCCCACCTTTCCCGCAGCCGTTTCGGAGAGAAAAGGAAAGGGGAAGCCCCCAAACGAAAACCCGAAGTGAACGGAAAGGTTCGGGGGGGGGGGGGAAGGAAAAATAACGCGGCGGTTTTTGGGTGAATTGTTGGATGGGAATGTGAAAAAGCCCCCCCCCCGTGTCTTTGTGTCTTCTTTGGGGGAGGCGGGGAAAGGGAAACGCCGCCAAGTTGGTGGCTTCCCTTTTTGAGGGGGAGGGGAGTCAAGCAGCCCCCCACTTTGCATTTTGCTTTGGGTGTTTTCCCCCGTTTTTTCTGGTCCCGAGACATTTGGATTCTCCGTGTACTAACATTTAAAGTTCAGGGGAAGGCCCTTGTGACGAACCCTCAAGGCAGAGACTAGAGACCCCCGAGAGGACAAGCAACTGCCATTCCCAAATCCGGGCGCCGGGCCTGTCTTCCTGGCAAAAGCTTGGGCCCTACAGCTCTAGATAGCCCATGTAAGGGCCAAACGGCACCAAACATCTATTTGGGGTGTGTTTCTGTTGAAGCCCGCCTTTTAAGGTCGCTTTAAAGAGAAACCAAAAGGGAAACCGCGAAAAACAGAATTTGGGAAACCGCGCCGATTTCGACACATGCCCATTTATCTGAGTCCCCAATTTCCCTTCACAGGTGGCGGTTTTGGGTTGGTCTTGCCCCTGAATGCTCGCTTCTTTGTCAATCGCACCTCCTACAAAACCAAGGGCGAAAAAGCAGCCCTTCATTTGTCGGAGGTACGACTGGATTTATCCAAGTCATAGATGCAACGTATACCCCTCAAGTCGTGGCATGCAAGCTTCATAGCTCCAAAAAACCCATAGGCATCTGGGAGGCTCAGGCTGGGTACCCCCTTTCTGTGGCTAACGGGACCCAAATTAGGACCCTGCGCGGCTCCATGGCCGGGATGGGATAGATGCAGCTGATTCAAAGGTTGGAACTTCGAGCATTGCTCAACTAGGTCCTGGAGCAGAGAGGTTAGAAGGGTACCCGTTTTTCTGATTTTAGTAGGGGAACCCTCCCCAAAAAGGGTAAAAGGGCACTACTGGGGGACCTAGTCAAACTACAGGGGTCGCCCTGACTCCCTACTCTTTGCGAAATCAACCGTAGGGGTGCACGTGTCTATCCCGAAAAAAAACCAGTCTGAGAGGGTTTTCACGGGCCACAGAACCACCAGAAACGGGAAACAAGAGGATCATCCACGAAAACGAGTTCAGCGGGAGGCGCAAGCAATTTTCATGGCTCACTTCAGCCCACAAAACTTAGCCAGTGGGCTCATAGCCACTGCACCTCAATAATTCGGCACCTGATCTCTCTGCTCAATGGGACACCCCTTTTTTTATTGGATCTTCAGTGGACCCTCCACCCCAAAATATGCAAAACCGCCGCTGGGAAGCTGGGTCAACAGCATGAGCATTTTGTGCTTCTAAAGCCATGGAACAGAAAGACACCTGAGGCAAATCCTTGTGTGCTGCACCTCATCCTTCTGCTAGGTCATGTGACCCTAAGGCGGCCGATGTTATAACCATGGAAAATGCCAGCAAAACTGAGAAGACTTGCGTGAAACGCAGAGAGCCCCACCCAAAATCCGGCTGAAAAATTTTCTGTGCCCAACATGTCAGAATCTAGTGCCCACGCCAGGTCGTGGTCATGGATGCTAGCCAGTTAAGCCACGAAATCGGTCCACTGGAGTCCATGTTTGGGATATTCCGAGGAAAGCTTTCTCCCAGGCGCTCTCCTTAGCTGGGCTGTCCGTTTTCACATCCCCAAGTTGCACTCTTAGTGGGTGAAATACGGAAACCCGACCACTAAAGCAACAAACTGTTGAATGGAAACCCAAGCACTAAACCAACAAAAAGCCTGACAACGTCTAAGGAACCGCCCAGATCGGCATGAACCACCTCCCCCGCGGATTCGGCCGACGACCCGATCCGTCCTCAACCTGCCGCCCTGCTCGAGGCCCGAGGCTCGAGATCGGATCCGAATGCTGATGCACGAAGTCCTCTTCACCATGAAGACACCCTGACTAAAAAGTCCTCTGGAACCTACAAAGGGCCCCCCATGGTTTCAACTTGGGAGTTGGTCCATCCACAGGGTGACCTTGGGAAAATAGATGGCCCTAGTAAGCGGAATGACACCAATCTAAACCAGCGGAACCCGTCTATATCTAACCAAACTAACCCAAAAAAGACACCTTCGGATCTAACTCAATCTGTAGTCCCCAGCACAACCGTGAAACAGCCAAACAAACCACCCTATTTTATAAAAGCGAGTGGGGAAGTGCCCCGAAAAAACCGTCACTTCTAGCGAAAAGGGGGGACAAGGGGGTCAATAGAAAACATGCAAAACGCAACAGCCATCCCCGAACAACCCACCCCCTCTCAGAGCCGCTTTCTCCATCCTTGTCCCCCACCCTCCCAGCTCTCCCAAACTCCAAGCCCCGTCTTCCACCAAGGTAAAACTCAAAAACCCGTAGGTGACCTTTGGAAAAATAGATGGGTTTCTCCTGGCAGATGGGGTGTAGCATCAAGCTAAACAAGTGCAACCCATCTATTTCAATCCAAACTAACGGATCAAAAGAATACCCATTGCTGGCCATGCCTCTGCGCGAGAACAATCAAACAACACAGCAAAGCCCTGCAGCCATGCTTGAATCCGTGTTTTCCCCCTATGTCTCAAACTATCATCTGTTTTCCAACCAAATTGACCCGTCAAACTCCCGCGTGGTGGCGGCAATTGGGAGCTCCTTGGCTCGCCAATCGGGTAGCCAAACATAGGGGGGAGCCCAAAAAATAGTGTTCGCTGTCCGGCAAGAGAGAAGGAAAAAAACAAAAGATGGAAAAAAGAAAGAAAAGAAAAAAAGAAAACAAAACACAACACCATCTAGAAAAATGTCCTTCTGAATTAATCTGAAAAGCTACCCTCCCAAACAAAATACATCCCCGAAACAAACCTGGGGCCCCTTACCAAGGCGAAAAGGGCAAATGAAGAAAAAGAATACGCGCTACCCGCGTCCATGCAGAATCCATGCCGAACGCCTCCGTAGACCAGCAGCCAGTAGGAGTAGCTCTCAGGTGCCCAGGTGCGCAACTCCTCCTGTCAAGGATTAGAACAGCTTTCATGAGTGTAGCGTCCCACCTAACTTTTGTCGCGGGTAAGGGGCGAGTCAGGAAACAGGCTGGCCAAAGTCAGGAAATGGGTTGGGGTTAGGTTTTGTAGCAACCTCACTTGCCCAAAGGACCTGAACAGAACAGGTTAGCTTTTTGGGGCCATGAGGAGAACCATAGATGCTTCCCTTCCTCAAGAAGAGGGCTACCCCATAGGGCTAGCGGTTGATTTCGCCAGAGCCGGGCTTTTTGCCACCCTCGGGTCAAAGAAGGGCATGTGTCAAACTAGGGGACCCCAAAATGCGGAAGTGTCCTGGCCTTTGAACGGTTCTTCTTCTCATTTCAACCCAAGTCCAAATTGGATGGGCAAACCTAACCATCTTGTCAGCTCATCGAGCCGATCTGCTCGTCACGGCTCTAGCAGTACTCGTTTTCTGCCTGAAAATACAACAGCTTTTGCCACCCACCTCCCTAAATACAAACTAAATAACTAAATAAATGTTACCAACCCCCCCCCCCCCATGGCCGGTAATTGGCGTCCCGGGTGAAGTGCCGGCAATTGACCAGCACTTGCTTAAGAATGGTTCTGTAGTCACATAGTTTGTTGTTGCCATCATCAAAGTGCAGTGACTTTTCTGTTGTTGAAACGTCACTTCAGGATACTAGAGGGGATCCAATTGAGGGGTTGGGCTGGCATGTATGATCATTGCACATGCAACGCGCGGGGGGGGGAGGGGGGGCGACACGCCTGTGACACGCTCATATCCCAAAAAAGTGACCTTCAACGTACATGTGCCGGCAATTGGCCACCCCCCCACACGCCGTGACACGCCGTGACACGCTCCTCAAGAACCCCTCCCAACCTCAAACTTGCCCTCCAAACCTCAAATTTGCTGCTCTCCCCTTTCCCCTGCAACCCCATTCCAAAGGACCCTGAAAGGTCACTTGTATCATTGCACAAATTGCACTAAGTACAGATGAGTGATACTTGATAGCAAATGGCTTTTGCAGTCACTTAGACATAAAGTGACATCGTTTTGCCCAAAATCGATGTGCCACCAATTGGCCAGCCATTGGAGTAGATATTGCTTTAAAAACTGAACCAAAAAAGATACTTACAAGAAGCTACACGTGTGCAGGTGAATCTAGAAACACCTCCGTGCTTTGGCTTGACCCATCCTTCCCCAAGGGGTCCGTTCCGAGTTTCCGCCGAAAAAGGCCCCTGAGGGCACGTCCTCCTCGTGCGCAAAGCAGCAAATCTCCTGGCAGAGCGGCTGGGCACAGCACCAGGCTGCGAAGGAAAATCGTACACCCAGTGAACATCCCAATCCAAACCACTATAGACTAAAATGGGTGGTGAATTCACCAACCCCAAAATTGGTTTTGACCCACAGCCAAATGGCTTGTTACAGCTGATACTTGGGCACGGGGGGGCCTATGGGGAGAGGAGTAACTCCCTTGTTAACTAACCCCTCAATAAGGGTTATCCCTGGCTTATTTCGGGTGGCCCCCCGTAGGGGTCCCTGATACTTAGGCATGAATTTCAGGTAGGGACCCTTTGGTGGACGTAATTTAGGCAGGGATTCACGTCCGCCAACCACACATCTGAGGTGGTTCCAACTCTTAAACTTCACAGCCTGAAGTCTAAGGCACTTTAGCAAAGGCTGAATATTTAACTTTACATCCCGAACGAACCAAGATTCACCTCATGAAAACTCGGAGTTGGCTTTCTCGCACCGTGGATGTCCAAACATTTTGGCGGCCCAGCAGGCAGGAACCAAGTCTTGGCTTCGAGCCCCGTGCTCAAGACGACTTGGGCCCTCATGGCCGGAGTGTTTCTCCAAAACTTTGGTGAAGACCCCTGGACAAAAATGAGGAAATCTGCCCAGCGCTAGATTCCTTCTAAAACCAACAAGGGGGAGAACAAAAAAAAGACCGGTTGAGCAAATATAAAAAAAAGCAACTGGTCGGCCCCAGCTAAGTAGCCCATCGCGGGGATGGACACTTGGGTGAATGTGCCACCTCTGGTCAGGGATTTCTGGTCTTGAAAGGGATTTCCGGGCTCCCAACTATACCCAAAGTGGTTTTCTTTGCACCCGCACTCGACAGGCCCACCTGGCCACGACAGCCCCTGCCGTTGCACCTGGCAGTCGAGGTGTTCAGAACCAGAAACCGGCTCCGGTGTTGACGTTTTTGGAAGGCACATATGTTGAAATCACGCCTGGGGCGTCCCCCCAAGCGTGATTAAAACAACTGGAACGAGGTGTTTGTTTCTCTGGAATCACCAGTCATTCACTCACTTGCTTGCTCGCTTTGTCTGTGAGAAAAACTCACAAAATGAGAATCCAACATGAGGAATTTCGTAAGAAACATGGCTGGTGTACCTTTTGTATTAAGAAGCGGTTTTGAATTGCAGCTGGTTGGGGCCCTAGGGCATCAGAAACACCTGGAGATTCAACCAAAAGGGAGCACACCCTCCTTTTCTAGCTGCAAAAAAACTCGCAAAGGCAGTGAACATCGTGAATCCCTGCCCCCCTGTTCAAAGGAAGCTCAGCAGGAACTGATAATTGGGCTTCGCTATTGCTTAGATGTTTGCATTGAGCGTGACCAAACAAGCTGAACAGGAGAATCGAAGCGAGCCAAAACCATGGCCCCAAACATGAATTGGCTTGTTGGCAGGTTGGCAAACCACCCCTGACGAAAGCGGTCTCTCACCATTCTCGGAGCAGGCGGTCGCGCTTTTTTGCGCAACCTTTAAATGGCGAAGCCTCTGCAGAGAAGTACCTAAGTAGCAATCTATCTAACTGGCGAACTCGCTCAAGAGCCAACTGGCGAACTCGCTCAAGAGCCAACTGGCGAACTCGCTCAAGAGCCAACTGGCGAACTCGCTCAAGAGCCAACTGGCGAACTCGCTCAAGAGCCAACTGGCGAACTCGCTAGCAAACTGATTGTTTCAGCAGCTACCGGTTCAATGGAGGGCAAACAAGAAGCTCTAGGGACCGAGATTGGAAGGCACCTAAGGCCTCTGAAAAGGGACCATTTGGGGCATCAGCTAGCTTGGCTATCCCAAAACCCCAAGGCTGGCCCAAACAAAAACGGCGACACCAGAGACTCGTCGCGAGAAACGGCCCCTCAACGAGGGCCCCGAGGGAAGCCCAAGGGGTTTTCGGAGAAGCTCAAAGGCTACCTGTCTGCCCCTAGCCGTTGGCTTCCATCAAACGAAGAGCTCAGCGAGTAGTTCTGGAATTCCGCCTGGTGAGCCACCCAGCCAGGCTTTGCAAAAACAAAGCCGTTGAACTCATTGGGCTGGTGGCGTCCATCTCCCTGTCCTCAGATCCCCAGCTAAAAGTTTAGCTTGTGGGTTAAATGGAGTTCCAACCACTAAACACTAGAATGCGAAACAGCTAAAGCTCCAAGCTGGTGTAGGGCTTGCCACCAAGCTTAGCTGTGAACCGCCAAGCTCAACATAGTAAGGGTATGGCTGGGACCAAACTCCAAGAGCCCCGCCTCCGGGTTTTGTACTTTGCGGGGTGGTAGGAGATCTCGTCGCGGGTGTGCGCGAAGACCTCAGCGAGATGGCTTCCCGATGCGAGGAATCCCTCTTTTGGTTCTAAAGGAAGCCAATGTGGACATCATTTTTTGCAATCCAAAGTGGGATCCCTTATGTTTTTTTTGGGGGGGGGGGGGGGGAAAATCCATTTGGGGATTTTTCACCATGCTTCGGTTGCAAGCCGCCCCAGTGCCAGGAAGAGGTGCTTCCCCCCCCCCCCAAAACCCAGAACGCCTCGAGAGGCAAAACGCCTTCGCGGGCCCCCGGCGCAGTCCTCCCCGTTGGGGCACGGCCCAGAGGTCATACTCTGGCACGCCACGTCCCAGTACCTGGCGCGTAGGCGCGGCCCTTTCTTTTCTTTCGCGCCCGAAGACGTCGAGTGGTCTTCGCTGGAAAATCGGAGCAAGGAATGGCATATATGTACCAGTCCCTGGGCCACGTACCCCCCCCCCCCCCAATGGTATGGTCCCCCCACTCCCCCGCATCATCCGCATCTTGGGGATGATGCTGGCAATGCTGGGGATGCTGTCCAGTACCGTGCGAGCCCTGCAGCTTCGGTCCCAGACCCCCTTTCACCCCGTGAGCCAACACCCCCGCACCTCTCGCAACATCCTACCCTAAACCAAACCACCCTTTAACCCCAACCCTAAGCCTAAATCAACCCAAACCCCAAACCCACAAACCAACCCTGAACCAACCCTGAACCAACCCTAAACCAACCCACCAAGCCTCAACCAACTCCGAACCACACCCCAACCACCCAACCACCCCACCACCCCACCACCCCACCACCCCACCACCCCACCACCCCACCACCCCACCACCCCACCACCCCACCACCCCACCACCCCACCACCCCACCACCCCACCACCCCACCACCCCACCACCCCACCACCCCACCACCCCACCACCCCACTCCCACCACCACCCCCCACCACCCCCACCACCCCAGGGGGGGGGGGGGTTTGGGGGGGGAGGGGGGGGGGGGGTCCACGGCCTGGAACAGAAATCTCTGCTTTTTTTGTGCTAACCTTTGGCCAATTGACACTGAAATTGGAATGGATAAGAAAACAATGACAAAGATCCAGAAATAAAGTTATCTACTAAAACCAAAAGTCACCAAGAATCTAGGCAAATAATCATCTGTCTTTAACCCTCTCCGGGTTGGTTTCAAGGGAAACAAAACGGACATGCCAACAGTTTGGGGGTATTTGGGCGTGCTTCGACACCTTGTGATCAAAAAACGACGTGCCAATCAAACCTGCTCTGGGAATGAGAGCTGGGATTACCTTTTGAACAATCCAACTACTGGATTCCTTTATTCGGGAATCCCGAAAACTTGGAATCCCAACACCCGGCTTGCGTTCCAAACAGCCGGGCTCGCTAAGCCATTTCCTATCGCACCGGCAAACCCACCCCCTTCCCTTGTCTTACAGCCGGGAAGGCTATCCCCTTCCTCAAGAGTGCTCCCTTTTCTTGCGGTGAGCAACCAATATTTATTTGCTAATCCCAATTTGGAGAAATTTGCCCAATCCCAAAGAGTGCTCAACCCAACCCATCTTTGGACCCGCCCCCTTCCCCCAAACCCCGAAACCTTCCCCGCGCACCGCAGGCGGCCGAGGGTGTCGATGGGCGGGCGCCGGCGCTGCGAGTCGAAGTGGAAGCCTCGTTGGCATCCCAGCCCCACGGTGCGCTGCTCCATTTTTGATAGGAACCCTCCCCAAACGTCAGGTTCCATGTCCGCCGACATTGCGGAGGCGTGTCGGACACTTAAGAGAGAAAATTACACCAGCCTCGACCCCAAACAGCAAAACAACTTCATGTAACCTGCGCGATTGAGTAGCTTATGTGAACAACACATAGTTCCAATCAGTCCAGGTATGTCCCTGTAGGAAGTCCCGTTCATCAACAGGAAAATACCATGTCAAATGGCATGTTCGAGAGCGAAGGCCCCGGGGATTCGGGGTGAATCAACCTATCACCTGGCATTTGTCAAAGGAAGTTTCGAAGGATCTTTCGTAGCACGGACACTCAATGCACTTTTCCATCGCCGCAGCATTTGGTGGCCGTCTCGCTACTCTGCAGTCTCAGCAGCCTGCGGCCGAGACTGGACACATGCCATTGTTATCTTCTTCTCGAGCTCGGCTAAAGGTCTTGCCACAAGCAAAAAGCAACAGAGCACTTGCGTAAACTTGCAGACTGCGCCTTGTAGCGATACGGCCGGGACATCCTCGCCTAGCAACGCAGACACGCACCGCGCCAAATCGGCAAGCGTCAGCAAAGGTGCCCGTTGCTTGGTCATCCCGGGCCTTCATCTCTGTCGTGTCCAGCGCGCCGCGTGCTCCCAAGATGGCCAACGCTGGCTTCCCCATGCGCCCAACGCCGCTCCATTCTGGAAAAAGCTTGGCTTTGAACGTCAGCTCCATCTCGGAACCGTGTGAGAACTTTGCCCCAACTTGCCGATGCTGGCTGCACAGTGGAGTTGGCGCTTATGGTTCGCAGATTGGCGCTCACATGTGTGGTGAACGACCGGCGGCCGTCATTCCAATGCCGCTGGCAACAACTTCTGCGCCTTGCGTTCACTCAGCTCCAGCAGCTGAACTGTTTCCAAGTTGTCAAGGTCAGCGAAGTAGGTTGCCAGGACAAGGCTCCTATGCATCAAAAAAGTTTTCGAGGAGAACTCGAGCAGTGCAGGGACGATGCAAACAACTCTTACGAGTCAATGGTTTGGCTGGGGACCCGACTCACCCAGGCTTCACTTCCAGGACAATTTCTTTCTGGAAACCGCTCAGAAAAAACCTTCCCTAACATGCAACAAGATGATAAGCACACCTGCTTGTCTGTGTCCCTCTCTGCGATAGGACCAGATCTCCAAGAGCAAGTAACCAAGAAACCACCAAGCCAGTAATGCTGCTGGGGAGTTCGCCACGCACGCAGAGTGTCCAGCAGCACCGAAACCTTTTGCTTGAACGGGTCGGAATCGTTGTTCAAGGCGTAGTATGGGCCATGTCTGTAGCACGTGTTGCTTCGGTGAGCGATGGTCTTGATGCTATCAGCACATCCCTCCAGCTTGGTTTCCCGACAAGCCACGTGTGCTGCGAGCAAATAAATCAGAACCTCGCCCGGAGCTGCCAAATTCAAGTCGAGATCTCGGAAAAGAACGTTGATTGCGAGAATGAAATGGAATTGCTCGGATTTCCAAAAATACTCACCGCGGGAGGCTAGCACAAGCGCCATGCAACACAGCTCACGTTGAACCCCTTTAGGGAAGCTAGCGCCTCAGAGAATGGCACCTTACGACGTCCCGCCATGAAAACCCTTGAGCCCGCACTTGCAAGCCCTGGGCACTTTCGGACACGTGCAAAACAGCAGCGTCCATATTGCGGAATATGTGGAAAACAAGGCTGAGAAATCTGTTTTCAACCCTTCTGTCAGGAGGCAGCGAGATATGTCAAATCTGCGACCTTGGCAAGGTGTGAAATGCTTCAGCAAAATGCGTTTGTCAGTGGGACTGGATTACATAGGTTGCAATGAGGAAAAAGAGTCGCAGGACCAGCTAGCGAAGCGAAAGACTGAGAAGGTGCTAAATACTGGCAACAAGATAGGAGGCAAGGTTTACAACAGCACGGCCAACAAGAAAGGGTGGTCGAACTACAGCGATGCTACCAAGAGCTAGAAGATGGGTGGCCCGAAAGCATGAGCAGCGCACGGGGCCAAGTAATCCTAGCAAGTTCTCTGCGCAAGTTCCTCTGAGCAAGTTGTTGGCGCGAGTTCCTTTGAGCAAGTTCTCCAAGCAAGTTCTTGGCACAAATTATCTGAGCAAGTTCTCTCAGCAGTTTCTCTGAGCAAGTTTCAATGAGCAAGTTGTTTGAGCAAGCTCTCTGCGCGCAGCGCTTGCCGCAACACACTGCAACTTCCTGGTGCAATTCACTACTGCAACTTGCTAGCGTGCTACTTGCAGAGACTGGGAGACACAGGGAGACAAGTGGGAGAATCTGACCGCAGACACTGGGAGACAAGCGGGAGACACGACCCAGCATCTGGCATCCAGACACAGGGAGGCAAGCGGGAGACACGAATTCGGCCAGCGTCTCAGCATCTGGCATCCGACCGCAGAGAGGACAAGCAGGAGACAAGACCCCGGAGCCGGCGTCATCCGACCGCAGAGACTGTCTCCAAACACAGAAAGATAAGCGGGAGACACGACCCGGAGCCAGCGTCACAGCATCTGGCATCTGACCGCAGAAACTGAGAAACGCAGGGAGAGAAGCGGGAAACACAACCCCGGAGCCAGCGTCACAGCATCTAGCATCTGACCGCAGAGAATGGGAGACAAGCGAGCGGGAGACAAGACCCCGCAGCCAACGTCACAGCATCTGGCATCCGACCGCAGAGCCAGCGTCACAGCATCTGGCATCCAGATACAGGGAGACAAGCGGGAGACACGACCCCAAGCCAGCCAGAGCCAGCGTCAGACAAGACCCCGCAGCCAACGTCACAGCATCTGGCATCCGACCGCAGAGCCAGCGTCACAGCATCTGGCATCCAGATACAGGAAGACAAGCGGGAGACACGACCCCAAGCCAGCCAGAGCCAGCGTCACAAAAAACGGGAGCACAACCCCGGAGCCAGCGTCACAGCATCTGGCATCCAGACAGGGACAAGCGGGAGTCACGACCGCGGAGCCATAGGACGGAGCCACACAGCATCAACCCCGGAACCAGCGTCAAAGCATCTAGCGTCTGACCGCGGAGACTGGGAGACGCAGCTGGGAGACAGAGAGGGAGACACAACCCTGAAGCCACCGTCATGGCATCTGGCATCTGACCGGAGAGACTGGGAGACAGGAAGACAAGCGGAAAACAAGACCCGGAACCCGCGTCACACTTTCCCATTCTCTATTCCTCAAGTTAGAACCCCAATGCTTCGCTGTTTGGGGAACTATCAGTCAGCCAGCTGCACACGTGATGAGAAATACCGGGTGACGGGGTGGCCCGTTCACTGGTTACGGAATGGCGGCTCTGGTGCTGAATGTGGTGATTGCAACAAGGACACACGGTCATGGCCATGTTTCGACACATGTTCGGTGGCTGTATAATGTAATAAGAGTTGCTAACGCCGCCGCCGTGTTTGATGGTTTCCTTTTGGGGTCCCATCAACAAGAGCCGTTTCGCCAATCGCAGAGGGGCTTCCTTAGAAATATGCGTGCTTCTCAAAAATAGGTCAAAGAGCCATGTTGGCAAACCAAGAGGAAACCTCCTCGAGCCGACATTGCTCGGCGTGTCGGACACCTAAGAGGGGATAGAGGATAAGCCCCCTACCCCCCCCCCCCGCGCGCCCGACGTCTGATACGTAGGGTACAGGGGGGGGGCGGGGGGTCCCCCACGCACCGCGCGGTAATTTGATGATGTTCCACTAAACAGGGGTCCCAGGCTCGAATCCCCCTGCCGGCTCTTTCTCCTTTTGCCGAAAATCTGGAAAAACTCTGTGTTTTTGGACGTCCTCTTTGCGAAACGCTTGGAAAAACCGTGTTGTTTTTTGCGGAAAACTGGGGAGCACCGGGGATATGCAAGGAAGTGCAAGATGAGGGGAGGAAATAGGAAGTCGACATGACAGGAAAGCAGGAAATGAAAGGGAAACAAAGGGGAACTGGGACATGAAAGGGACAGAAATGAAAACAAGGGGAGTGCAGGGAGAATGCAAGGGAAACAAAGGACAAGGCAACCAATCGGCACGACGGGAGATGTATGCAACGAAAGAACGGAAGATGAAGCGGACACACCGAGAAAATGACAGGGACATGCAGGGGGAGTTGAAAGGAATGGAAGGGACATGACCAGGACATCATGGGAAACGTGAAAAGGACATGTAGAGGGGCGTGGACAGGAAGGAGACAGGGAGGCAGAAAGAGACAGAGACAGAGACAGAGACAGAGACAGAGACAGAGACAGAGACAGAGACAGAGACAGAGACAGAGACAGAGACAGAGACAGAGACAGAGACAGAGACAGAGAGAGAGAGAGAGAGAGATAGAGACATAGAGACATAGAGAGAGACAGAGACAGGGAGATTGAGGAGCGAGAGGCTTGGGGGATGGGGAGGATGGGGAGCAGAGGGAGGGAGAGAGGACGACAGAACACGCGGGGAGGAGACAAGGGAGAGAGGAAGAAGGAGAAGAGGGAGAGGACAATGTCGGCGGACTGGAGGCTCTAAAGTTTCATGTTGCAGACTGCAACATAGGCTCCAGTACAAAGGGGGCACCCTTGGATGTTGCGCCAGGGCCGCTATTTTGCCGTCGACTTGGGACCAAATCCCGCCAGGCCAAAGATAGTGATGCCTGCATCGATCCCTGGGTCCAACTGTTTCTGACCATCAAACTCCATGCTTTGGAGGGGGAACTACCCAAACAGCTAAGGGATGATCATCAAACCAAAGAACAACCGATCATTTGTGGTTGGGCTCCGCGGTTCGCAGCTTTGCTGTTTCAATGATACATGGAGTTTCAGATCCAGGCCCACCAATCCAGACCTACCGCTTACCTGACCAAACGCCAAACATGAGTGAAGTGGTTGCCGATTGAGTCTGAGAAGCAAACGAGGTGACACTCAAGAAGAGGGTTCAGCACGACCTACACACCTGCCCCACAAAAACCTGGGACGAACATTATGTGACTCTCCAATTCTACACTAACTACATGCATTGAGGAATCCCAAAGTGGGACTGTAATCATTCCGGACTTGCTCCTTCGGTCTCCATTCCGCTACATCCCTTGTTCGTCCTTAATTGCTCCAAATGGCCACTATGGTGCACCAATCACCATGAGATTGCCATGTCTCCAAATCAGTTAATATGGGTATGGCTCATTTTATTGAGGCTCGGCACACTTTTCGGATGGAGTTACAGGGAAACCAACAGGAACACCGAAGCCCTTTTTCTTTTGGGGGGTCCAAGTCCTTATGTATTGATTCTACGTTTTGTGTGTGTTTTTTTGCGGGGAGGGGGTTTCCAAATCCTTACAAAAAGATGAGCCCTGCGATCCGAACGTCCGAGATCAGTCCGATGCTCTCGAGGCCCCGGCAAAAGCAGAGGGACGTCTTGCCGCGCACTCGGTGTAGCGCGCAGTAGCCCTTCTGGAAATCCTCGGATCCGTGAGCTCAACGTGGAGAGCGGCTTTTAGGGGATACAGGACATAGGACAGTAGAGTGTAGAAAAGCATAGCGTAGAATAGTAAAGGATGGGGCGGGAGAGATAGAAAAGAAAAGAAAGGAAAGCAATGGAAAGGAAAGCAATCGAAGAAAAGAGAAAGAGATACAATAGGACAGAGTAGGATAGGATATAAGAGGAGAGGGGGGCAGAGGAGAGGAGAGCCAAGAGAGGATAGACAGTGATATAGATGTTTGAAAACCAGTAAAAAAAGATATACATATATACCTGCTACCTCCTTGGCCTGCTTTTTTGAAGGTCCTTCAAAAAAAACAGGTTTCTTACTTGAAAACCGGTTTTTTGTGCAAAAGGGGCGTCTTTTCAAAAAGACATGTTTTTTCCCTGGGCAGGGTTCGAATCGTGATAGTTGATGCGGCTCTTGTGCTTGCGTGCATGTCGTTCGTTTCTGATCATTAGATTTTCAGTTGATGTGGCACTTCAGTTTGACAGAACAGTCCAGGGTCACATGCTGTCATATGACTTTGAACGAGTTACCCGCATATATTTCCCATAAAGAGCCACTAATTCAACAACAAAGCTGAAAAGAAGAGGGTTCACAGCACATGGAGCTGCGCCACGCCCTTTCTGGCACATCGATCGCTCTGCTGGTCATCGGAGCCTCGGCCGGAAGCGGGCGGGCGTGCTTGAGGGGGGATAAGGTTGAAGTGTGGAGGTTTGTTGCTCGTATGGAGCCTGCATGGTTGAATTTCTTGTGTGGCATCACAATTTGGTTGATCATAAGCCCTTAATTGCGCGTGCTTTTGCGTTGTGATTTCTCGATCGCAGAACTGCATGTTTGCACATGGATGCCGCGTGAAGAGCGCTGACCCTACGTTTTCCCAAAGCATTTCGAGCTATCGAGTTTTGGCGGCCTGCTTTTGCTCTTTAGCGCGGGCCATGGACCGGCGACTGATTGGATTGGCTGAGCAGTGGGAGGGCAACAAGGAGGTCAGGGAGCGCCTTCGGAAAACTGGCACAGTTTTCGTTTGGCCCGATGACCCCAACCTTGTCCTCCGCCCTACCATCAAATCGGCGGAGATGAATCTACCGGTTCTTTTGCCTCTGCTGGGTCGCCTAGCAAGCCAAGACGGCAAAATGAGGATGTTCCTGATTGCTCGCCTGCAAGCTTCGCTTCTTGGTGGCTCTAGACTGACGTCAGGTAAAGCACCAATTTTGCGTGGTTCCAGATTGTGCGTGCTTTGTATTTTGAACACGCTCGTGGTTGCTGTTCTCCTTCCAAGTCGGATGCCTGGGTGCAAGCATGAAATCCCCGTTGGTGTGATATCCCAGGTTGGCCAAGCTCCATCAGCTCTTGGGCAACGATGCCTACAAAGCCAGGGGCCAGATCAGAGCTGACTCTTGGTGCTGCAGAAAATTCAGTGTTCTGGTGAAGCGAAAGCTTACTCGGGGCCAGATTTGCCGGAGCCGCTCTTTCCGGCAGCTGATGGCTTCCGTTGACCCGGACAGTTTGGGCAACAGTTGCATGCGCGCGAGCTGGTCCACCAAGTTGTTGTCTACAAAGTTCAATCAATGCACACATAGCTGTCGAATGTGCAACTAATATTTGCATGGACACACTTTAACACAAACACACACACTAGAATAGAAAAACCTGGTTGGTGTTAAGGTGCGCGCGCCGGCATGCAATTCAGGCGCATGTTTGTGTGTGCGCTTGTGGTCAGCATTGTTGTGCTTCGCGGTCAGGACGTGAAGATTGACATGGACGAAGCCGAAGCCGACGAGACTCTCGCTGACAGTGACGATGACGCTGACTATGACGACGATGACGCGGAAGACGACGCGGACTTTGAGTTTGGCATTTGTGATGGCGCGACTGATGAGGAGGTGGACTTGGAAGAGCAGGTGATCCTTGTAAGCTCCCAGGAGGACTGTGCCAGCCAGACGTGCAGCGCAGACCCGGTGGAGGACGCTCAGGACACGCAGGGCATGGTCGACCAGACGCACGCGCTGAACAAGACAGACGTGATGGACAAGCAGATTTTCGGCGAGGACTCTCAGCTCGATGATGCGGGCGCGCAGGACGACAACAGCGACAAGAGCACTGCGGAGCTGAAAGCCCTCCTTGCTAGCACGAAGAGGAAAGCCGCTTGCATGAGCCTTGGCTGAGCAGGCGTTTTAGCTAGGGCGGAGTGCGTAGCGTTAGAGCAAATAGTTAGCGCGTGTGTGTGAATGAGCTGTGAACAACATGACCTTTAGTATGCCATGGTCTGAATGCGCACACGCACGCATGTTGCAACTAAACCACATAGTGGGAGAAGTGGGGTGTTTTTCCACTTCTCGGCGCATGAACTTTAGATGGTAAGGAAGGCCCAAATCTCCTTGAACAATGAGAAGGCGGCCACAACGAAGGAGTCTAAGCCTGTGTGGGTTGAGGACTCCCTGCCCTATGGGATGGATGATGGAGAAACACAACCAGTGGTCATGGAGCACATGCAGTTCCTAGCTGACCGCTTCAACGAAGAGGACGCGATTCCAGAGCCAGTGGCTGACATGTCACAAAGCATTGAGCCTTGGCTTGAAAGACTACTCAATTTAGAAACGCAGTAGCTTGTGTCTGCTTCACACATCATATGCCGTTCAAAAATCAACCATTCACACACCCAACAACCCCGCGCCCTTGCGCGCAAACAGAAACACAAACGTACGCCGCACACACACACACACACACATGCAGACACACACACACACACCTGCAAGCAACGCACGCACGCACGCACGCGCGCGCATGCACACATCACGCATGAGCGCATGTATGCTGTACACACTCCATGGGACGCGCGCGCTATAGATGGGTGACTGCGTGCCCTGACACTGAAGTTGAAACGCAATCAGTGCATTAAGACGCATGCACCTTTACGTTTGTTGTTTTGTGCTGCGATGTTTTTGCGCGAGCTCGCATCTGCATGCACGTGTGTATATTCTCCCTTGCGTGTGTGCATGGGTGTGTGAATTTGTTTTTTTGTCTGTGTGCTTGCTCTGTTGCATATGCGTTTTTTGTAACTGTTATGTAGGTCGATCAATTATAACATAACAAATATAGCAATTGCTTCTTCGTGCGTGTGTCTCTCTGCACTTGTGTGTGTGTGTTTGCGCATGTGCATGTGCATGAGTGAGCGGGTGTGTGCGTGTGTGCGCGCATGTGTGTGCATGCTATCTGTGTTTGTGTTTTCTGCGCGTGTCTCTGTGTGTTCACGCGTGTGTCATGTGTGTGTGTGTATTCCTACATGCACGTTGCTATATTTTTGTGTGTGCGTGTGTGCATGTGTGTTTGTGTGTGTGTGTGAGGCCGTAGGCGCACACATTCACATGTTATTGAGCTTATCTGAGTTGACGCGACGGCAGCAGCTCGCGAACAAGCATGGCAAGGCGGACCAGGAGCAGGGTGATGAGAACAAGGAAGAGGAGCAGGACCTGCCCGTGATGAAGAAGCCAGCTGCCAAAAGGGCCAAAGCGGCGAGCAAAGCAAAAGCCACTGAGATCGCCATAGTTGCCAAGCTGTCAAAGAAGGGCAAGCCGGAGGACAAGTCGCGCTCCAAGCCTGACACAGCGCTCGCCACCCAGGAGGCTGACTCTCACGATGCGAGCTCGGACAACGCGCAGGTGGACTTGGGGGGCCCGAACAAGGTGGGATCCAACAAGGAGGTGGACTCTAACAAGGAGGGTGCCAAGAAACGGTTCAGCGACAAGGTCAACAACGAGGTGGACAGCGAGGGCTCCAAGAAACGGGGCTCCAGCAAGGGCAGCTCCTCCAACAAGGTGAACTGTGACAAGGTGGACTCCAACTCCAACCACAACAAGGAGGCTAACAAGGTGGACTCCGAAAAGGCGGGCTCCAAGAAACGCTCCAGCGACAAGAAGGTGGGCTCCAACACGGTGGACGCCGACAACGTGGACAGCGAGGCAGGTTTCAAGAAGCGGGGCAACGACTCCGACAAGTCGAATTCCGACAAGGTGGACTCCGACAAGGTGGACTCCGACAAGGTGGACTCCAACAAGGTGGACTTCGACAAGGTGGACTCCGACAATTTGGACTCCGACAAGGTGGACTCCGACAAGGTGGACTCCAACAAGGTGGACTCCGACAAGGTGGACTCCGACAAGGTGGACTCCAACAAGGTGGACTCCGACAAGGTGGACTCCGACAAGGCGGACTCCGACAAGGTGGACTCCGACAAGGTGGACTCCGACAAGGTGGACTCCGACAAGGTGGACTCCGACAAGGTGGACTCCGACAAGGTGGACTCCAACAAGGTGGACTCCGACAAGGCCAAGAAGCGCGGCTCCAGCAAGCGGGGCTCCTCCAACAATGTGAACAAGGTGGACACCAACAACACGGTCTCTGAGAACTTGGACTCAAACAAGGTGGACGACGGCGGGGTGGGCGTCAAGAAGCGCGGCTCCAACAAGGGGGGCTTCAAGGAGGTGGCCTCCAACAAGGCGGACACTGACAAGGCGGGCTCCGACAAGATGGAGAACAGCAAAGTTGGATCCAAGAAGCGGTCCAGCAAGGGTGGGTCCAACGAGGCGGGCGCCAGCAAGGTGGACTCCGACAAGGTGGTCACCAGTGACGTGGCCTCCAAGAAACTGGGGGCCTCCAACAACAACAAGGATGGGGTGGTAGGCTCCAAGAGGCGGGGCTCCAGCAAGGGGGCCTCTGACAAGGTGGGCTCCAGAAAGCCGGGGGGCGAAGGTGGATCCGACAAGGAGGTCAACAAGGAGGTGGACTTCGACAAGGAGGTGGACTTCGACAAGGAGGTGGACTCCGACAAGGAGGTGGACTCCGACAAGGAGGTGGACTTCGACAAGGAGGTGAGCTCTGACAAGGTTGACTCCGACGATGAGCGAAAAGAGAAGCCAACAACCACGAAGAGGCCATCACCCAAGGCTAAGACTGGGCAAAGGCCGAAGGGCTCGCCAAAGAAACGTGTGCGCCGTAGCAAGCCGGACATTCCGGAGAAGTCCCCAACCAAGCCTGCCAACGAGATTCAGACCAAGAAGCGCGGGCGCAACAGCACTTCCAGCACCAACTCGGCCAAAACGCCGCCAACCAGCAGCTCACCAGCCGAGCCCCCGCCGGCCAAAGCCCCGCGAGTTACTAAAACATTTGCCAGGCGCCGCCGTCCTGCTGCTGGCCTCTCTGCCCTCAAGTGGGACGCAGTCAAGCTCGCCTTTCAAGAGGACTTGAAGCCGCTGCTGACTCACTTCACTGTGCACGAGGACAAGCATGTGCAAAAAAGCTAGGGGCGCACGAAAAACAATTCTGATAATTTCTTATCTTTGTCACGCGTCCGTTGTTTAAACTGGCACGCACGCTTTCGCTATGGTGCAATATCTCGCGATCAACCTTATCATCGACTCACTTGCCAAAAAACTCAAAGATACCCATGGTTTGCCAACAATCTTTCCGATATTGGATTGCGCAGCTTCGTTTTGAAAAGGATGGCCAAGCCCACCCCCAACATCCCCAAAGTTTCATACAGAAAGCTGGCAGGATGCTTTCTGGAGCTATTGCATGCAGGATTGGAAGGAACGAACGCTCACCACAGACGACGACCTTGCATCGATGGCTCACTCTCTGGCAGCTCAGTATGCGGCTGACCGAATTCACCTTGATGTAGACTAGGCCGGCGATCACCAGGTTCATACTTGCCTCAGCGCAAGCAAGATGTTGCCCTGCACATTCTGCAAATGGCCTAAGAATGTTCCTTTTGACTTTTTCAGTTAAATGGTTTGGTGCAAATGGACTTCGCTCAGAACATAATAACGTCACCTGGACCATTGACCAGGAATGAGTTTGATCTTTCTTGGGCCGGGGGGCGCAGAATGAGTCGGGGCAAAATGTGCCGAAAGAAGCTGTGATCTGGCTATTCTTCGTCTTTGTAGCCAAAACCTCCAGGCTGAATTTTCTTAGGCAGCCTGCGGTAGAGCTCTTGGCCCAAGTTCAATGCTACATAGCGCAACACACAAAAAACATGCTACATACGAAGAGATTGAAAAACGTTTCAAAACAAGTTGTTGCATAGCTGGGTGCATAGCTTTCATCGTATCGACCAGCTTGCACATGGGCAGTCGACATATTGGCTTGGGCTGGGCAGCTAGGCTGTGAAACAGGATTCATGTGGAAAAAAGGCCCTCTTCACCACCGGAGACAAGTTGCTTGAAACTTACTTTGTGAGCAGGGGAGCTTCCATGTGAATCTGAGGAAGGTGCTGCAAATGGACCGCAACATTCCTGATCGGGGCCATGGATGGCTCCGACGCATCATGCCGGCCCACTTCATTGGAAGCGCTGCTGTCTTGTTTATTTGCCACAGGGCGCATGAGGTAACCAACTTGCGACGACATAGATATTTGACTTGCTTGTCTGAGACACTGAGTGTCTTGCCCTATTTGCCTGTGTGACGTACTCTATGCGATCATGCACCCTGCACATGTGCAAAAGCATCAGTCGCGTGCTCTTCACAGGGGCTGTTTCAGCTCAAGAGACTCGATGCGTGAAAGCAACAAGCATGCTTGGAGGGTGTCAGCGATCAAATGTGACATCAAAAACAATGTCTTTGCTGCAAGAAACCTTTTTCTTCAATGTACTTAGGACAGTCAATCCACTCTGACCGAGCGATAGCCATGCATCCAAAACTGGCCCTTTTGATCAAGAAGTTAGCGACCCTGGATGCCCCGAAGGCCGCGTGTGGAGAGTGATATTCTGAGGGCCCACGCGCTATTGCCCGTGTTGATTTGCACGTGCGCAGGTCTTGATCGCCATCGTCATCCTAGCAGCGAGTCAGGGGAATGTGCCGGTCTTTGAAGAGGCAAGGGGTCATCCGTGTCGCTAACCCAACCTAATGCCCGTTGATGCGCTGCCTTTGACGAGAACTGTCAAGCCCAAACTTGTGCGGCAGGTCTACACATGCATCGAATTGTTCTGCGGAACAGCTTGGGTGTCCAAAAGATTGAAGCTGGCTGGACATTCAGTTGCCAGCTTTGACATTATCCTTGGGGACCCTTTGCCCGGAAAGCAAAATGCTATGGACTTATTGTCTGATGCAGGGTTTGCGCCTCTTGGATCAATCGTGCGTTTCTGCGCTCTTGGGTGCGCGTTTTTGAGCAACTTGCCCTGGTTTGGAACGATGTATCTGAGGCTTGCCCTGGTAACCGTCCTCAAGAGCAAGCCAGACGAGTGCCTATGTGTTATAGGATTGGACTGCTCGTCCTTTGTGACAATCAACGCTGGAACGCATTGCCGCACACCAATCACGCCACTTGGTGATGAGTCTGTGGCGCATGTGCGCCGCGGAAACCGGCTTGCATCTCGGAAGCTTGGCTGTATGGCCACGACAATTGGCTTGCTTGCGAATGGAGACTTGTTTCCCAGGTTTCCCAGGATTATGTAGAATCACATCCTTTTAACCAAACTTCACAACCTTATAGTTAAACCAACGGGGTCATTTTGGGTCTCGCAGCATGTGGCTGGCGGTTTGGACAGGGGTCCCAGAAAAACGATTTTGGTTTCACGCGTACCACCCTGTGACAACTTCATTTGAAAATGCGGTTGCGCCGGCAATGCGCTCAAAGAATTAGGCATCCAAGATTCTGGGTTGTTTTCCATTTTTTGGACCATGTTCTGGAAAAGAGACAGGTTCTTCTAGCAGCTGCTGCGGGGTCCGGGTTGCAAACATTCATCTGAACTTTTCTCAAGGGTTGTCTCCTTCGTGTGCTTTCGTCCCAAACCCCCGACCTGCCCAAGGTGCTGCCTCTTGATCTTGGTCATGACGTCCATGAACCTGGCATGGCTGATTGAGCAGCCGCGAAGCTCGATGCTTCCCTGGCACCCAAGGATAAGGTGGCTGTTTTCTCGCTTACCAAAAGTGCATTACTTAGTTGCACACACACTTCAAGGTGCGTCATTGCAACTCAACGTTTATTGCCATTCTGCGTTTCGTATAAACAGCATCCCGCCAGTTTGCTTTTGGAGACTCTTGGCCGAGGTGTTTGTGACTACTTGGTGGATGGGCAAATATAAATCAAAAAGCCCGAAACGCCACATTGGCTGGGGCAACAGTCCAGCGATGCAGCGGTTGGATTTGGGGCAGCTGTGCAAGGAGGAGCGTTTGCAGCTAAAGCAGGGCGCGCCGGATGTGAAAACCACAAGGCAGTACCGCAACCGTCAAGGACAAGTCAAGTTTGCTGGAACCCAGCACTTGAAGGGAACAGGGCGGGGTCCTAAGTTGCTGGCCACTGGCCTATGCGGGGCTGCGAACCTTTGAAGCCATGTGCCATTGATTCAACAGCAGGTCTTGTTCGGGGAAGTCCCTACAAACATGACTTGACCCGTGCTTGACATGAGTCACAATTCAAGATGGCTACCAGGTCCTCATCAAACTTAGCAAGTACTTTTTGCTCAACTTACAGTATTTTTTGCTCAACTAGTTTGAAGAACAACTGTAGCTGTGAAAACCAGGGGTCATCAAGTTGGTAAAACTTAGGTTTGAAGCGCGCCATAAGGGGCCTTAACACGTGCTTTGATTTTGAGCTCCGTTTTCTTCACTTTCAATCACAGCTGTAGCCGTGAAAACCAGAAGGTGTGCAAGCTGATCAAGCTAAAACTGAGTGGTGCCATAACAACCTCAAGCCACGCCTCAGAAGCCAGTTTTGAAACCCAGGGGTCATCAAGCTGACAAAGATTAAGATTGAAGCGCGCCATAAGGGGCCTTAAGACGTGCTTTGATTTTGAGCTCTGTTTTCTTCACTTTCAAGAACAGCTGTAGCCGTGAAGACCAAGCAAACTGAAGCGCGCCATAAGGGGCCTTAAGACGCGCTTCGATTTTGAGCTCTGTTTTCTTCACTTTCAAGAGCAGCTGGCCATGAAAACCAGAAGGTCATCAAGCTGACAAAGCTTAAAATTGAAGCGCGTCATAAGAAGCCTTAAGCCACGTTTTGATTTGGAGCTCTTTTTTGCTTCTTCACTACCAAGTTGCAGGGCCATAAAATTGCTCATTTCCCAAATAGTCCTGGACTGGTTCGATGGAGGGCTTCAAACACGGGCATGCTGAGAATAGACTCGTAACAGTTTGCTGTTTGTTCAACTGCAGACATTGGTGGATACTTGGAGGAATCAATGTAGTCTTAACGCCTACTTCTGTCCAGCACGAACACATTCGGTGATCTCATGCCACTTCTTTTTGCATTCTGAGAGCTCCCCCACCAAAAGACGAATGAGTTTTCCTGCCCTGCGAGAACAGCTGCTTGGGGGGCTCTCAAGAGAGTGAAGCAATGATGTTGGGCAACCTTTGTCGGCTGATCCCCAAGTGTGATATGTGATGAAAGACACATCAAGGGCTGGAGGTATTCAACCCTGCTTGACTCAAACTGAAGGTATTCATGAAGGGTCTCCTTTTCCAATGTCTTGGCTTGCTCGTGCTCAGGAATTATCCTCGCCGCTTTGGGCTCCGGATGGTCCGGCTTCACCGCCAGTTCTGCAAGGAGGCCAGGGTTCTCACATCGATGCCCGAGCAGATTCGTGGGGGGAACGCAAAGGATATCTTCACTTCCCTTGAATGGGGAGATCTTTGGGAAGATGCGGATGCAGTATCTGTCCTGAGATGGTTGCGTGGAAGCACCCATTTGAACTTTGAAGAGTGGCGTGATGCCTTTCCTTCTCACTTGTAGCGACCCCACACTCCGAGCCCTGCCTTCAAGGCACTTTCCAGGAAACTGGCCGAGCTCGCCTGGCATCCAGGAGCAATTTTGAATCGCAACAGCAGAACGTGAACAAAAAGGCGTTGGCTTTGTTTTTGTGATCATGCATTCTGATACCAGCCATCATCACCTTGCTCGTTTGATGACCAGTTTACCCGAACATGAAATTACGTACAAAGTACGTACGAAATACGGAATTTGTACGTACACCAAGTGCCACGCGAACAAGGGCCGCATTATTACGAACAAGGGACGTAAATCCGCGTACAAAAACCCGAACAAAATACGTACAATAGGCCATTTTCGCCCTCCCCAAAAATCCCACACCCAAGCCCAATTGTTTGAGAGCTAGATGTGGGATGAGCTACATGCCCTTGCTGATGCATCGCGCAGACTGGATCTCAGGGTCAGGCGTGTGGCCCCTCTGCTCATGAGCATCGTGTCGAAGCGATCTCTGCCTTCAAAGCGGTGGAGTTGCTCTGAGCTTGAAGCTGGTAGTGAGAAACTCATGTCAGTCAAGAAGGAACAAGCTGAGTATGAGGATATCCAGAAGAAAGTGAAGGAGATTTCTTGAAAAACAAATCTGACTTGGTTGTTTTTTTTACTTGGAGGAGAACCGTTGTTGGCTCGTTTTGACAGGCTCCATCATTTAACCCCAAGAACTTGGCTTCAAACCCTAGCTTCACAAAGCTAAATGGAACTACCGATCTGTGCCCCCCCAGGAGTACGAGAGGGAGCTCAAGAAGCGTCAGAAGAAGAAGTCGACCGACTCAGTGGTTTCTTGCCTGCAAACTGGTTAGAGTGCGTGATTCACCGTGGAGCTGGGACCAGTATGTGCAAGGGCGCCTTAAGTTTGCGCATGTGTACATGATAACTTACGTTTAACTGGTGCCTGAATGCAGGCTGACGCTGACACTCAGCCTGTGCCTTGCCTTCATTGCTTTACTTGAACAACTTGTTGTCCGCTTTGATGCTGACAAACACGGGACAGCGTGAAACCTGTTCATGCACACACACCCTGCTTTGGCAGCATCAACTGCACGCATGCAATCTACCCAAGTCTTGGGTTTGAACTACGTAAGGCAAGTCCCGAAGAAGTGGAAGCCTCTCGCGCATCCACCCCGGGCAGCTCTGCCAAGACAAAGGCAGCAAAGGCTTCTAAAGCACCTACCAAAGCTGAACCAGTTTCCCCAGATGACTCAGGTGCTCCAGTTGCGCCAAAGGAAGTTAGGATGCCCAAGGCAAGCGTCAAATCAGCTGCAAAGGCAAAGGGGAAGGCGCCCAAAAAGAATAACCAGGAGGATGAGGAGGTTGAACCCCGGCCTTCTAGCTCCCAGAAGAAAAAGGCATCCGCAAACAAGGAAGTGACAATCGAGGAGTTGCAGCAGGCAAGCGGATGGTGACCGTTTTTCGTGGGTCAGCCGACTCTACCCCCAACGCCCTGTGCAAAGCGTCCCCATTTTAACAGTCGATAGTTCAGAGCAAGAACATGTCAAAAGTGCTTTTACATGTATTCCTGGGGTTAACCCAAGCGGAAACAGACTTGTTGGGGGAACTGCAAGGGTCTCGCCATCCATTTACATGTTGATGCAGGCCAACAAGGAAATGCAAGAACAGATGAAGATGCTGATGGCCATGGTCCGGGATAAGCCCAACAAAGATGAATTGAAAACGCCACCTCCCAAGCGGAAGGCTGTCTCTACACCAGAGCCTGCCAGTGATGCCAGCGGCACCGAAGACCTCAGCGAGCAGGACGATGATGCACCTACAGAGCAGGCGAAGCGCCACCGACTCAGGCGGCTATGCGAACGTAAACCATCGGGGAAAATTCAGGTGCCTCAAGAAATACATGAACAATGGGCGGCTGGAGGTCAAGGGCGGGAGGACTTGATGCAAATGCTAGAGGAAGCTGAATTCAACAAAGCGCTTTGCTTGCATCCAGATTCCTAGGTGAAGAAACTTCATGGCTGATGTGCTCTTAGGGTGTGAGGATTCCCGTATAGCTTCTCATTCCACCGCGAGCGGTGCCCAGGCTTGCTTTGTGAACCGCGTCATCAAGTCCAAGGAGCGCACCAATCGCAAATCTGCGAAATCCAAGCGCGGATGGTTTACAAAGGAGGCAATGGTGAAGAATTTGGGTTGGAGCTCGCCCCCCGGCACAAACATGAAGAAACATGACTTGGTCCTAAATGGAAAGGCTTTGGGCAGTGAGATGCGTGTTACAGAGAGTTGAACGACTAGGGGCTGCCGCAACATCAGAGATGCCTTGTCAGGTCGTACGCTGCCAACGCCATCAAGTATTGCGAGAAAAAGAACTTGGTCAAGTTTCTTGCCTAAGCTAGCGGCTTTGTTCCAACTGGCGACCCTTGAAATTTGCAAAACTGAAAAGCCTGGGCATGCGCTTTCCCTAGGAAGGATCGCTACAACAACAAGCTGAAGAAGTACTATGTCGAGTACGAAGAGGGCGACGAGCATGTGGACGAAGAGGAGGAGAAGGAGCGTGAGGAAGAGGTGAAGGCTCGGGTTCGGTTTCTTCATGCGTGCTTGCATGGAGAAAGAAACAAGCTCCAAAGCTCTCTTTTGAACTGATGCGTGTTGGGAACAAAACGAGTTGGTCGTGTTGATGTTCTGGATGTTGCGTTGTTCTGCGCATGGGAAGAAGGAGTGATTGAACAACTAGAAACCACTCGCCCTAGCTGCCCGGTTTTAGAAACATGGGAAATTCGAGCTTGTAGATGCACTATAGCTTGTGGGTCAAAACCAGTACCCAAGACTATTTTCTGAGCCACTGTCCCGCTTGCAACAATGGCAGATTGCGGGGCGCAGGGTATGAGCATGTACACACGTGCCGTGCAACTCAAACCAGCACTGTTGCAAACACAGACCCCAGTTCGAATAGAACCCATCAACCCATTTCTTGACAACTCAAGTTGTGTGTAGCCTTCAGCCAGGCAAAGTTGACCACGTGCAAGAATCGTGATTTTGCCATGAGTTTGTCCTGGAGAGAGACCATACGTTTTGGATTGTTAAACCAAGAAGCAGCCGCAAAAGTGCTTCAAAAGCCTTCAAAATTCTCACACCTCTTTGTCATACTGTGTGTTGACCTTTGACGCAGCCCAGGCTGGCCGCAAGGTGAAGTTTAACACCCTGGGCAAGAAGAAGTCTCGCTTGGTCCCCGACATCCAGCCTGAGTCCAGCGACGATGCCAACGAGGACGACAAGGAGGCTGACGATGTGAAGACGCCTGCAAAGGAGCTTTGTGCTTGCAACCGTGTGTGTGGGCTGGAAACAATCGCTTCACGACTGGACTCACCCATGCGCAAATGCATCACCATTTGACATTAGCTCACAAAACAGGAGTACGCGGCTCTGAAAAGATTTGGAGACAGCTTGCTATCCCGCTCATCCAAACTCACGGATTTGATTGGGCAGCTGGAGTCTGCTGTCGGAGACAAGCCTGGTGATAGCCCAGAGCAGAAAAGGGCGAAACAGTAGCTGGCCTGATGTCATCAAGTTTCTGACTCACACTTTTGACAACTTGACACCAAATGTTCGTGCTTCACTACCCTGACCAGTACGCTCACCCAGGTCCATCCGCGCCTTGGAGGAGGCTGTCGAGATCCTGGAGAAGGAGTACGAAGTGGTAGAAGAGGTCCGGGCGGAGACCTCCGATTTGCAGGACAAGAATCTTGCAGAGGGCAAGTCAAAAGAGTGCCTTGCCTGCCTCAGGGATGACCGGGTCTTTTGCTAATGGTTTCAATGGCCTATAGATAGAAAACGTTTCTGCCAACATGGTTGTCTTCCTGTTTTTCAGAACAGTTCTGTCGAACCTTCCGTTCTTTCTAGTTTCTGTCACTAGTTCTATCTTTTGTTGCTTTCTATCATATGTGTCTTTTCATAGTTTGCTTGTTCACATTCATTCGTTCACCCATTGACTCACTCACTCATTCATCCCACTCACTCCACTCCACTCCACTTCACTCCCTCGTCCATTCGTTCAATCATTCAGCCATTCATTCATGGAACCACTCCACATTGATGCCTTCCTTCATTCCCCTGTCATTCATCATTCATTCATTCATTCATTCATTCATTCATTCATTCATTCATTCATTCACTCACTCACTCACTCACTCACTCACTCACTCACTCACTCACTCACTCACTCACTCACTCACTCACTCACTCACTCACTCACTCACTTCACTCACCCACCCACTCACTCACGCACTCACTCACCCACTCACCCACTCACTCACTCACTCACTCGCTCGCTCCCTCACTCACTCACTCACTCACTCACTCACTCAACCAAGATCAGTCAATTCATTCATTCATTCATTCATTCATTCATTCATTCATTCATTCATGCATGCATGCATGCATGCTTGCATGCATGCTTTGATTCTTTTACCCCCCGACTCACTCAATCACTGGCTCACTCACTCACCCACTCACTCACTCACTCTCTCACTCACTCACTCACTCACTCACTCACTCACTCACTCACTCACTCACCCACTCACCCACTCACTCACTCACTCATTCACTCACTCACCCACTCACCCACTCACTCCACTCCACTCACTCAATCACTCACTCACTTACTCATTCACTCACTCACTCACTCACTCACTCACACACTCACTCACTCACTCACTCACTCAGTCATTTGATCGCACATTCACTTGTCCACCCATCCATCCATCCATGCGTTCATTCATTCACTCAATCAGTCAGTTGTTCATTCATTTATTAATTCATTCATTCATTCATTCATTCATTCATTCATTCATTCATTCGTTCGCTCATGCACTTATCCACCCATTCACCAATTTTCTCGTTCACTCCTTCACTCTTCAGTGCATGCATCCAACCACTCATGCATACAATGATTCATGCAATATTTCATTTACCTCCCCATTCATTCATTCATTCATTCGTTCGTTCGTTCGTTCATTCATTCGTTTCATTCCCTCACTCACTCGCTCGCTCACTCACTCACTCACTCAGTCATGAACTCATTCGCTCATTCACTCATTCATGCATTCATGTCACTCTTGTGTTCTCTCTTTCAACCACTTTCTGATTCAAGCATTTATTCACTCATCTGTGCTTTCATGCGTTAACGTTCTTTCTGGTGCTTGTATGTTTTTTAGTTTCGTTATTTGTTGATGTTCTCTCTTCCTTCAATCGTTTTTTTTTCTTTTTTCCTTTCTTCTTATTTCCTTGTTTTATTTCTTTCTTTCTTTCTTTCAATCGTTCTCACTCTTCCGATCTACCATGGAGGTTGCACCACTTTTGACAAACACATATGGGGCGCGCTTGCCAAACAATGTCCCGGATTCTGCGCGAGGCTGCTGGCCAAAGTCGATGCCCGCATCAAGAAAACGACCGTGGCGCGCCTTGCTCGCAGCGGAGGGAGACTCTCAGGTCCTGGCGTTGAGCGGGTTGCAGGGGGTGTTTGGGTGAACTCTGTCAGGTGCAGCAAGGTGACTACCGCTGAGAGGTCTGCCAAGACACTTGGGTTTGGATTGAGACCAATTGAGGCTGCACAAATTTCACCAGATTGTGTTGAGCTTGGAGGTTTGCCTACTGATCCTAGGAATTTGATCAAGAACTTGACCAAGTGAGTTGGGGTTGACCCACAAGCTGCCTGACAGCGAAGTGAGATCTTTTGAGAAGGGCCTTCCAGATCGATCAGCATAGTGCTGCTCGTGTGTCTGAAGCCCCCTCATGCAGTTCGATGTAACCAGCCAGGGCACAAGCTTGCTGGGGGGTTGATTGCGAAGCAATCATGGGGTTTGCGCGAGCGTAACATTGGATCCGTCGAGCAAATACCAGCGCGCGAGTGAGGGCAGTTTGGGCAGGCTTGATGATTGCGACAAATCCACAACCCAGTCCTGCGTGTGCTGCCAGGGTGTCGGGAACAAGCTCTCGGGCAGAATGATCGTCGACCTCGTCTTGAGCATCACCTGGCGCGCATGATTGCCAATGGGGCCAGGCCCCCATCCACGTTAGAACATGACTGTGTGCAGAAAGGGTGGTCTTGCTTTGCTGTGTGTTTCTGATGCAGCACACTCTTCATCGGCAGTGTGAGTTTTTCGATTGATGGCATCACGCAAGAGCTAAACACGTTTGTTTTGGCACGTTGTGGACCTCGACCCAAGACAGTAGATTGTCCATTTTGACCCACAACACAGTTTGAAATTTCAAGTTGCAAAATCTGGTCATGTGTTGGGTTGCTTGGTCTTCGCATGATACATGCAAGATAGAATCGGCCTAGTGAGTTGGAGCGCCATGGATGACTTGATGGACCTGCTGACCTATGAGTGCCCAGTCACCAAAAAGCAACGTGTGGCTGGATGGGGTGTTCCAGCGCCTACATCTAACTCCAATGAGAACCGTGGCTCGAATTCATGGTTTTTCAATCTGTGGTAGGCCAAACATTTTTGAGGGTGTGTGGGTCTTTGAACAACAACCAAGGACACGTCTTGAACACCCGCATGCAGCAGTTGATAATCCTGACCCTGATCTCTACATGGAGTATTTGATTTCCAGGGCAACTCATTTGCAATCTCTGGCCCTCTGTCCTTGGAGACGTTGTCGATCAGCCCAAGAGCGCCTCAATTAAGCAAGGCAGTGTTCTTCCGGACACCAAGGAACAAGAGGGGGGCCAGCTTTCTCTGGAAGATCTTGGGGCTAGCTTCGAGGATACTACTTCCTTTGACTGGGAGCTCGCCCGTTCTCACGGTCTTCTGAAACGCTGCATCGAGACATCTTCTTCAAGCAATGCTACGTGTGGAAGAATTTTGTCACACGCGAAGGATCAAGTGACTTTGTTTCGAGAAACGATTGGCATTAGATTGTGTGTTTTCAAGATTGGCGTGACTTCCAATCCAGTAAGCCGCTTTGCGCTGTACAAAAAGAGTGGCTTCACTTCGATGTGGGTCATTGCCACCTCTGATAGCACTGACCTTATCCACATGTTGGAGGCTGCCTTGATCTCAGAATTTGGCAAACATGTCGGCTGCAGGAACAAACCTGGGTCAGGTGGGGAAGGGGCCCTCAATAGGGCAAACCCTCCCAAGCCGCCTTACTTTGCATATGTGTCGGGTGGACGGGCTGATCAGCCTCGAAGAGTGGGGTGAAGCCTAGCTCAAACTGCAGATGTTTCAGTCCCATTTAGTCAGCGGCCATTGTGTCCAAATTTTGAAGGCTTTCTGTCCTGGGGAAAAAGTGCTGCACGTGTGAGATGTGTGAAATTGCAAGACTGCGCATTGCATCTACGGGTTTTTTTGCCTAGGGTGTGTCACGCGGCCCCCGGCCCAGGCCCCAGCCAACCACGTGGTGGCGTTGGCGAAAGCGGAGGTGGACAATAATCTGGGCGCGTGCCCTGCTATGCGTGCTTTGGCAAGGCTTCGGGAACGTGATGCTGAGAATGGCGTACATGAAGTGCTAGCAAGATTTGGGCTTGCTGCCCCCATTCCCCTGGACCATGTCGATCTAGGCCCAGGGGCCCTGCGCAATTTTCCCTACATGAAGCTGAGCAATTGGGTGAAGTTTCTCTTGGACTCTGGTAGGTTAAGGCAGCTTTGTGGTATCCCTGATGTGGAGCACATGAAGGCTGTCCTGACAGAGTTCTGGAGCCGTTTTCGCCAAATGGATGAAACACACCAAGTCTTCCAGCTTGCTTCGGAGAACGTCCTCGAGCTGAGTTTGACCATCCCCATTTACTCACACGCTGATGAAGGTAGGTCGTACAAACATCAGGCGCTCTGGGTACTGTCCTCTCACGGGGCCTTGGGAAGGGGAACCAGGGCATACATCAACAGGAACAAGCACCGTACACCATTGCGAAGAAACCAAATGGGCCTGAACTTTGTGGGCCAGACCTGGAGCACCCAGTTTACATTTTGCACCTTGCTACGTGCTGTTGCCAGTCAATACCCGGACTCGCTTGACACCTTAACAGCTCTCTATGCCGAGGACTTGGAAAGATTGGCCCATGAGGGAGTTGTATCAACAGATGGCGCTCTGCGAGTTTGGTGCGTGCACATTGGTGTGAAGGGCGACCTGCCAGCCCTAACTAAATTAGGGGGATTCAAGAGGTCCTTCTCCCATGTGGCCAAGGCACCTTCCTCAAAGAAACCCAGCCAGGGTGTCTGCCCATATTGCCTCGCGGGCGTGGAGGGCGACAACAACGCATCGCATCAGCCGTGGGAGGATTTTTCCAGTCAGCCAAAATGGGCACGAACGATGCAGAGGGGTGTTCCATGGGACCACCCACCTTCAATCATGAAAGGGGCTTTGGTTTCTCCTGGGAAAGAGTCTTCATTTTTCAAATTGGACATTTGGCACAACTTCCACTTGGGAGTGTCCAAGCACTGGCTCGGTTCATCCCTGATTGCAATCATGGAATCTGCTGACCTGCCATTTGAACATGGCACGCGCTCTGTGGAAGCAAAGCTGGAGTGGATGACCCGGGACTATTTGAAGTTCTGCGGGGACAAACGTATCTCACCCTTTGTGACAGAACTGTCTCGTGAGTCACTGGGCTTTCCAACCGGCTCAGCCTCCCCAATTGGGCATTGGAACAAGGGCGCAGCATCCACCCACATCATGCTCTACCTCGAGAACATTTGTGAACGTTTCATAAAGGGGAAAACTGAAGAGCCGACCCTTTGTGCGATTGAGCCTTGGTTTCAATCACTGTTGACTCTAAAATGTTTCTGTCCCATTGAGTGCCTGAAACAAATTGTTTTACCCTAGCAGCGCTATAACTCCCCCAACATATTTTTGCTTTGATATGGCGCGTGATCATGCAAACATTCAAGTTCCCGGTGGTCATTGGTGACAGGAAGTCCCACAGCCTTTCAACAGTTTTGTTTCTTGATTTGTTTTTTAGCTTCAGCAGGTGCCCATGTGAGCACGCATTCTTTGGGTTTTGAAATGGCCAGTGATCTTTTTGACAATCTCAGGAACTGGGCACGCGGATGATGAACACAGTCATTGCATACCTCTACACTCAGGGCTTCTGGCTTCAAAGTGCAAAGGGGGTCCGGGTGAGCGCTATGATCATGGTCTTCCTGCAGTGCTACGCGAAGTGTGCTAGCCTTGCGTTCGAAAGACGGCGGAATAGATTCGCCTTGGTCCCCAAGTTGCACTACTTGCACCACTGTGCTTTTCGCTTGGCGGTGGAAGCCCATCACCCGTGGGCAGTCAACCCTTTAGGGGAGTCTGTGCAAATGCAGGAAGACTTTATAGGGCGACCGTGTCGGGTGTCACGAAGAATCAACATCCGGCAGCTCCACATGCGAGTTGCTCAGAGATCTTTGATCTGCTCCATGCAAGCGCTGGAAGCATCAGATCAGGATCTTAGGGGCTTGCACCCATGAGGCTTTTTGAGGAGCACGTCAGAATAAGATTTCAAACCTCCTTCAATGAAATGTGGCGGGCTTCCTGGGCCCTTTTGAGATAACTTTGATCATCGTCATGCATGGGCCTGATGGGTCCACCCACTTTGCACACTTACATGCAGGGGTGGCCTGTAAGTGTGGCAACGCCAAAAGGCGAAAGCTTGTGTGAATCCCGGCGCGGCGCCTTGCAGTGGTCAGAGGCCACGGAGTGGGAGGGGCAGCGGCTTGCAAACGGCGCTCGGCAGGCAAACCCCAAAAGCAAGAAGCCATCCCCAACAGGCTTACAAGCCAAACCTCACATGATCAAAGTGTTCATGGCTTTGCGTCTTCTGTTTAGTCGCAGCAAATGTGATGCCTAAAATAGGGAAATGATGTCTTTTTCCAAAGGGGCGTCTTTTAAAGAAAAGGCCGGAATTTGTTGGAGAAAGGTGGGGGGATGCGTTTTTGAAGGCCAAACCGGCCCCAGGTATATATATGTATTAGACAGGTCAATTAGATTGATATAGATTGCATTAGACATTAGATTGACATTTAGATGAACGTCCCGCGTTGGCCTGAACGGGCCACTCTCTATTGCATTCTGGGTTTTCCTTTTGTGTATCTCCAAGCAACTCTGTTTATCAACCACTTGTGTGTTCCATCTGCGAATTTACCCTTGACTTCAAACTTTGGAGTGAAGGCAGGGATCCTTACATTATACACCTCAACATTGCCTTGTAAATGGTGGTTTCCCTTCATTTTGGTGGAAAAAGCCATGTTTCAAATGGGCAAAGTGTATCTTTTAAGGAGCCCTGCTTAGGGCTATCGTATTAGCTGTCCCTTGGAACAACTCACGACAACTGAATCTGAAAAACGGATGTGCCCCATGGTGCACAGCTGCCTTTGGCCAAACTGGCACCGGCTCTTCAAAGTGGATCCACGGAAGTGGGGTCTCTTGACTTTCCTTTTTCGAGTAAGCAAGCAAAAAAAAAAGTAGCTCCTTGGCCCACTTCCCCTTGCTTGACTGAGGTAAACTAAAATGCATCACTTCAACTCAAGTCGGATAAATGAAAGCCCCACACGTGCATGGCCTGTCATTCTTAGCGCACCCGTGTCGCAGGGAACGCCATCCATTGGGACAAATGAATTACATCAAACCTGGAATTCAAGGTGGTTTGTCGCACACCTGCCTGGCAGCGTCTCCTAACTTGGAATAGGCGCGCTTTAAGGCTGGTTCCCAGAAAAGGAGCCATGAACGGGGGGAGTCTGTATTTCCACTCGACAAATGAGGTCGGGAAATTTGGTATAATCTCTGATCTCTGAAAAAGACACCTGGATGCACGCGCTTCCATTTGCGCTTCCAGGTTTGTGTCTTTCTTTGCAAGCACAACCGGGTCAGCAACAAAGCTCGGCAAGCAAAAACTCTGGATTTGGACCCAGATCCACTTGAGACAAGCCAGGCCCGGAGCTACAAACAGAACTCCCAACAGATGTCCCCTTTTCGTGTTAAAGCTTCGCTTGCCACTTCGATTTTGCGCGTTTCCAAAGGCGATGAACAGCCACCTACCCCCCCCAACAAATCCAGAAGCATTCTGTCGCATCCAAATGGAGAACGAATCAGAAGGATCATACTGAGGCACTTCAGCTCCATGGTTGCTCTGTTGGAGGTTTAGGTGACCATGCTCACCCCTCTCACCTCTCGAGGAAAAACCAACAAAAAAACATATGCCCCACTTCTTTAGAAAAAAAAGGGGCCCACTTCTTAAAAACAAAAAACAACATGGGGCCCCCAGCCAGGCATGGCTGCGTATGGAAGCCCTCCAGGATGGCACCGTGCGCCGGCCTCGAGAGAAACAGGTGGGAGCATAGGAGTCCTTTTTATGTCAGGTTGGTAAGAAATTCCTGGGTTCCACTGGTTTAAGCTTTCTTGCCTAACCATTTAGCCTCCCTTGTGTGACAGCCGGAACCTGACCTTCGGGACCTGGTCCGTTTAAACGGAAAATGGTCCGAACCAGGACCCCCCGAACGTAGAACGGTTCCGGCTGTTCATTGGTGGAAGGGTGCCCCAAAAACAACAAAGAATGGTGCAAGACGGGTGCACCCAACCAGAAACGCCAGAAAACAAGCCTGCAAGACTGTGTCTGAAACCCTTGAGAGAGTCAAGCACTTTTTCCAATGCGGACAAGTTGCAACCCATCATGGCTTATTTTAAACAAGATCAAAACAAAAAAATAAGAACAAAAAAACGCACGGGTTCGACGCTTCGGATTGTTTTTCTCCACTCCGGGGCGACGGGCAGCTCCTGGGCGCTGCGAAAGCTGGGCAGCAGCAGCTCACAAGCCTTCCGATCGGCGAACCATCTGGTTCCCTTCGCGAAAACTCCCCAGGTTCATTCCCAAAACAGGTTCAAAACCCAGGTACGTGCCAGGTTCATGCCCAAAACCCCGATTGATCCGGGGACCATGGCGAACATGAAAACAGGGACAGTCGGACAGGGTGTCCGGTATTCTCGCAACGATAAAACAGATTCTCTTGGGACAGGACCCTCCGATCCAATGGACGTCACCAGGATCGGATCCCAAGTCGGAAATGCTCCAAACACTTGGACGACCACCCAGGTGGATGGGAGCGGGGACCTCCTGCGGATTTTTTCGCGGGGTGCTTTGCTTTGGGCCTTTTTGTTTGTCTGTAGAGTCTGTTGTCCCGAGAAATATGCCTATTCAATCAATCACCCCTTGGCTTAAGCCTAAGGAGCTTGCTTGGAAGTCTCCACGTAGGAACAATCTCTTGGCTTCCTTTTGATTTCCCAGAAAGAAGTGTCCATAACAAGGGGTTGACAAACAACAGCAAGCAAGCGTTTGAATAGTCTGCATCGCTGGGTGAGGTTCACGCATATGCTCGTTCTACATAGCTCAAAGCCAACTGTTTCTAGCCAAACGTGCTCGCTAGAACTATGTTGGTCTACGACATAGTGCAATTGTTTTTTTTTTGTACACAGAAAATAAAAAAGTCCGATTCTGCTTCATATAAAGTTGAAAAAACTCCAGGGCAGTCAAAGAAACCACTGCCCTGGGAAGTTTGCCCGGACGCCAAAGAACCCCCCGGGAAACGAGAGATTTTTGAGGTCGACCCCGATTCAAGTCGAAGCCTTGGGGATGAATCAGCCCCCTCATTGCGACCCCATGGGCTGCATCAAATCCGGGGGTGTAGCAATCCAATTAAGAGCAAAGTGTGATGTTCGAGCTGAACGGTCTAGCAGGCAACATACTGTGGATGGACGAAATCCTGCACCAAGCAAACATGCCTGGCCCATCAGCCGGGTGCACCTCCATCCAGACCGGATTTCGGATTTCAGCTAGCTCCATCCCTGCGCCGTGTCAGACCCACTGGGTGCTTCCTGAGGTCCGAAGAAGTGTCCAACCTCTTCTCCGCACTGGGTTCAAGAACAAGCTTGGGGGTCGATCTCAAGGGAAAAAAAGCCCCCCAAACCGCCCCGACGTGCCTCTTGGCGCGCCCGAGTGAAGGCGGTGCACCATTGGGTCTGGCGGATGGTTTCTCGTTCAAGGAGCCACTTGGGTTTCCACCTCCAAACCGCGAAGGGAATCCTGCGTATCTCAGCTTCCCCCTAGTTGGTTTGGAGCCCAGTGGTGTGCTCTTCCGGGATTTCCGGCATTCCATAACCTCTACAAGAACCAGGGGTTCAAATCCAAATCCAAACCACCAATCCAAACCACCGACTAAGGTTTGCCTGAGTATCAGAACCGCTATGACCTTGATGTACTCCCGAAATAGAAGGAGCCGAGCCATCGCCTGGGCTGGAGTTCATGTCGGATTCTACCAAGATAGGTCCAAAAGGTGGCAGCAAAAAAAAACACACACACTCACAAAATGAACGCCGTCTCTTGCTTGTTCTCTCTTTTTTATTCGAGAACCTAAAGGACATGGAAGCTGACAAAACGGCAAAGAGCTTCCCGGCAGCTTCCCTGCAAAGCGTGATTCCAACAAGGGAGAGGGACCGGGGATGCCAAAGGAGGTCCCTAGTTTCTCGTTTCGAGACTTGCAAGAGCTTGACTTTTTGTTGCAAGGTTAAAATTCGGCCTGGCAAGAAACATGCTCGGACACCAACCAAGCTGGAACCGCCTGGCGCACAAAGCGCGCGAAGCCCGAAAACTGTGCCCGATTTCGCCCCTCCGAGTCCCACGACGGCTGAATCCATTGCTTGTGTGGTTGACCCAGCTGTGCCTCGATTCAAATCCAAACCAGGCAGGTCCTGCCTTGTTTTACCCGGCAGATCCAATTTTGCTGGTTTGCCTGAGCACACTTTGGGGGCCCATAGTTTCTTTGCGGTTCAACCGCACAAGAAACTAACTCAAGACCCATAACTAAAATGGAAATAAATACCATTCCTCCCACTAACATGGCAAACCAGATTCACCCGTGGCAAGAAAACTTGTCCCTCCAATTCCCCAAAGTTTCGACCACCCCCCCACCCCCAGCCCAGTCACTCCCCATCCGCTCTCGTCGCCTTCTGGTCCACCTCTATCGGCCCTGCCGAAACCGACAGCGGCCGAAAGCGGCCGAAAGGAGACCGTGGGGGGCTGGTCTGGTTTTGGGCGCGCCTTTCTTGTTTTTCTCGGGGAACCCACACCTAAACCATTTTGGGGGGATCCCACTTAAATATATATGCATGTACATATGACTGTTAGACTTGTCATAGACCTATTGGGATTCTCAATATGGTAGCCCCCCAAAACAAAGTGGTGGTTTCCCAACACCTTCGCCACTTTTCACGGGCAAACCGACTTGTTGGGATGGCAAAACGACTGCAACAAAAAATCGCACTGCCAAATGGCTGTGGCTCAAAAAACCGGAATTGTCTAAAATGGAACCCGTGGTACATGGAAACATGTACCAAAACCTGCATAACCCTAGCTCTTTCATTTTGAGCCTCTGGCCCCAATGGCCAGAACCAGAAACCCGAAAAGGCGGGGCCTGGTACC